GAGCTAAAACAATAGCATTAATACAAATTTAGACATCCAAGTGCCGCTCGTCCTTCCCAACTGATCTATAACAATAACAAGTATGTCAATTTCACTTTGTCGGCAATTTAAGTTTCAATAATGACAACAGTCTCAGACACTCTGGTCTTGTTGGGTAACCCAACGCCAACAAGTTGTTACTCTTTTCATCTGATCCACAACAATAACAACAATACTAATTTCAACTTTAACGGATTTTCTGTTCAAAGAAACCTTAAATCTACTTCCCGGAAATATTCATATTTTTAGATGATCAAGCAACGCTGGTGTCTCTCAACTGAACTACAACAGTACAACATATTAATTTTAACGTTGCCGGTGCCATAAATATAATCAAAAATTTAACGCGTAAAAGATTTTTTTAGGAATAATCAATTCGTCTTAACTGTCGAATTAAATTTGTTTCTTTATTAACACAATCACAAATATTTAAAGTATATAATACACATTTTAGTTTTATATAATGAATTACTTATTACTTTCGACAAAGGCAACGGCACCCCAAAAAAAAAAAAAACATAAATAATGGAAGCGGTTTTGTAAGGTTAAAGTAGAATCGTCGTGTCACGTTAACCGTACGTATCAGAACAGATATCACTTCAAGAAATTCATAAGAATATTTTTGGAACAATTTACACATACGACACAGACCGAAATTGACAAAATTTGTATATTCTAAATACATAATGTATCGTAATGAAGAAGAGTAAATACAAGGAAAACAAGCATACTAAGCACGTTGTACGCACTCTACTTTATTCAGTTCGTTTCTCTGTTCTTGCACCGGCGGTGGTGGTATGCAATAAAAATGATGTGGTGCGGCACAATTTACTTTATACTAATTTCGTAACAATAATAAGAATGACATGCAACTAATAAATAAATGAATCGAATTAATAAATTTGTCTTACCTTAGTTTTATTTTATTTTTAATTATATTTTGTAAACATGCGTTGAAAATACTTGTTATTTGATCATGGCTCCGTCCGGTTGTACACCGCAGCACCTCCTTTCGACAACTGACGGAACGAGCTTTTTCCACTTTCTTATAAATCTTTTCTTTTTTTTTATATTTTTGCTCTAATTAACAAAAGAAATATGTTTAAGTTGCTCTACGTTTGGACAAAAATATAAAATCAATTTATATTTCAATTATTCACTCCAAATACGTATTGTTTTATAACTATCACTTTTGTGAGCCGCACGAATTTATTATTAAATTCTGCTAAATAAGTTTCGCCCCGAAATAATCCCAACTTTGTAAGAAATTTTCTTCACGTTGCTGCCGGACATTAATTATTTCATAAATGACAGAAGAAATATGGCGAGATGTTGACAGTATTGCAAGTCTTAAATAAAAATTTTAAATTATCGCTTCGTTAATGAATTTTAAACAATTTTAATTGAAGCAACATATATGTATTATGTTAACAACAATAACCTTTATCTAGAACCAATTTTTATTTAATACTCTATATTAAACTTTTATGTAATATATGTGTTTATTTCGTTGTTTATCCTGATACTGATATTTCACTCTAGATTTACCGCACTTATATATCTGTCGAGCTACCAAATTCTATGTCGTTTATATGCAATGTTGGCAAATTTCATTAATATGAATTTACTCCAGACTTGTCAGCTGATGACATCACTTGACAGTTGAAGCAAATATGGCGTATTTTTTGGTTATTTTCTCAAACTATGTTTTCAATAAAAAATACGATAGAAAAGTATAAAATAAAACTATTAATAATTCTATAATATAACAATAATGCTAATTTAAATTTCAAAAATAAATCGTCATTGATTCTTAATCAACATTAAATTAAGATTTTATTCCATACAAAAGTTACTCGTAAATGAATTAAAAAATAAAAAACAATTAAAAATATATTTTAAAAAACAATATGATTTGTTTCATAGAGAGGATAGGCAATAATTTCTAAATATTGTAATATGATTTATCTCACAAATAAAGAATTTCTTCCTTTTGATATATACTACTTCAGTACTTTATTTTCATGGGAGTTTTTTATGATATCGCATACAACACCTAAAAACTAAACAATACGAAACAATTATCGATTTTAGTGCAATTTAATTGAAGTGTTTTAACTATGACAATTAAAATGCATATGAAGAAGTAAACAAAACCGAAAAAAAAATAACAAATTTCGTAATAATTTTATATGTTATAACATTAAGTTCCATAAATAGATTTATGCCACTAAAATGCAGAGTTGTATTTTTTCATTTCCTGGAACTTCTAAAATTTTACCTTAAATTTATAATTGATTTGTGTTATATATTACAAAGCGTAATTGGTTTGTACATTTAATAAAATTAAGAAAAACATAAATAAGCCTATACGTTTTGTGTATTTCAAAGCAAAAATATAAACAAATTTATACAAAATATTTTTTAGTTTTAAATTCAAAAAACGCAAAGAATACCTTAAAAAAGTAAATAGATCATTTAAAAAGGTGGCACCTTTTCTATTTATGTCAACGCCGGCGAACATATTTGTGAATTAAAGATATATGTAATATTATGAAAATAATGTAGTAACAATGTTATATATATGTGCTGGCGATAGTATTTAGTTTTAAGGAAAACATCTAAAAATAGTGACTGCACGCTGTATAAAATGCATACAATGAAGATTTGAGGATAGCTTGTGAGAATTGTACTTTAAAAGGGCCCTTCATATTGAACAGACGCATGCCAAAGGAACAAAAAACATTCATTTTTTCTTCAGTTACATATGTGCAAAATGGTATACCATACATTTAGGAAGGTTCAAAACTCATGGATCAAGATTTACGAGTTTAGGTCGTCATTCATCAATTAGAAAAAATTTCCAATTTATATTCTCCAGAATTTCTGTAAAAAAATAAAATAGTTATATAATCTAATAGTGTATAAATAATTAAAAATCTGATATATTTAAATTTGATAGCGCATGCTACCGTAAGTATGCTTTCGTAAGAAAGCATAAGTAGCAGTCAAAAAGGAAGTTGACAACCTGCTCTATGTGGCTACATGGATCGATTAGAGCGCTTTTTATGTCCTATTTTGCCCTTAATGTTGTGTGGATTCTTGTTGTAGATGTGCACGACGTATTTAAATTTAGGAATGGTATTCGCATCAAGCTTATATTGATTGTATAAGCATCTAGTGACAGTAGTGACTTGAACTAGATAGAGTATTAATTGTCTATAATTTATAATGCGATCTCGCTTAGAGTTTTATCAATGGGTGTAGAGTGCTTTAGAGACTTTGATCTTAAAGGTTGTGGGTAAATAACTTAGCTGGATATTCTTGTCCAGATTAGCTGCGTATCAATTTGCCTACATATGTATATTCAAATATATTTGTTAATAGATAAGAAGTCATTCTAATTTCTTATCATACGCAGTATCTGTTATTGTGAGCATTCAATTTTTTGTTGTAAATAACATTGCGATTCGAAAGACTACATTGCGATTTGTGTGGCTACACTCGGCTAACCTTATCTAATTTTTATGCCATTTTCTTGATTACTTAGAAGTTAAAAAGTCATTAGGGGTATTCAGGCAACTGATTAGTTGCTTAATAGTTGATTACAACAAAAATGAGACTAAGCAGAGAATCAACTATTTCGGAGATTCTCAAATTAGTGAATTGATTAATAGTGCTGCCAGTAACAAGTGTCGACGCTATAAGCACAGGGTGTCTTAAAAAGAAAATGCAAAAATAATAAAAAATGCAATAATAATAAAAATAAAATTCAGTAACATTCTACTTTTTGATATATGACACGTTTGCAATTTTAGTTATATGATAAATTATATGATAAATTTAAATGATATTAAAAATTACGAATATTTGAGTATTTTACTGTTAACATACGTTTCGCTGTTGCTGTTGATACGAGTGCTGCCAAGAATTTGCACACAACAAACTAATCAGATTACGCATTTTGGGTCGTTCAAGCAACTGATTAACATCAAAATGCTTAATTTTTTTTATATGAAGTTTTTGATTCAACTAAGCAAGTAATCAGTTGCCTGAATACCCCTATTATTTATAACGTACCTAAAGTGCGGAGTAAATTGACTTATAGCAGAACCATTAACTTAAAGGTTAATGACATGATAAAGATAACCGCCAAGGAAGGCAATCGCTTCGATTTTTATGGGTCGAGTTTTATTTTCTAAATTTTGTAACAGCTGATCTAGATTTCGCGTAGGCCTTGCAATCATCATAAAAGCAAATTTGTTTGTTATGTCTCACCGCGAAAAGGACAAACATAGATGTAAATAATGAAAAAATTAAAAAAAGCAGTGCGTTTGAGTCATAATTGAGCCTTATGAAACAACAAAGCAACTTGTAAGCAATTCAGACCAAAAAGCTGAGTTGGGTGAATTTAAGAACTAATTATTTAAACCGTACTGTATCAAAAGCTTTTTGATATCCCAAGTTACAACTACGTTGCATGAGAGATAGCCAATAGCAGATGTCCCTTTAATTTAAATGAAAAACATTAACTGTTGCAGTGTCAGGTTAGTAATTGTCAAGAAGTCACTTGTTAATTATTTATGCCGTGTGCGCGTCCGAGTGAATTGATCGTAAATTGAGGGAAATAGTATATTATGTTGGTATGGCAACGAATGTAAGTATTTACCAGAATTTTGAGTAGGGTAAATTAAATAAAAATTAGGTGTGACCATTGTAAAAATTGTATAAGATGTTTGATAAATTAATAAACAAATTTGAAAACTTTTAATCAAAAATAACGATTAAGTGCAATAAATAAATATTTACATAAGTGTAAAATAAAAAATTTCAATTAACTTAAATCATGTTGAAAGAATACACCTAGAGAAACTTTAGTAACAATTTCTTGTGTTATTGTGAACTCACATTAATAAAGAACAAAATATATATAAATTACATTGTTTTTGTATTCGCCCTTGTTTATCAATATCAGCTGTAAAAAGATTAATGATGTTTATTAATTGAGTTTTACACAAAAGTCTTAATTTTAGTGCAAAGCACTGAAATCGTTTTATTAGGAAAAATGTCGGAATTTATGGCAGAAAACAATGCATGTGGACAGAATCTACTTAGCATTGTTTCTCTTGGAAACTCCATCATAGCAGAGCTCCTGCGTTTAAAAGACTATGTACCAGATATATATCGGTCTGTACTTATCAACAATAATGTTTTTAAAAAATAATTATCCCTTTAAATATTTTAGTTTAGAAACTAAAAGTGATCAACAAAAATATGCTGATGTGATCTTGGACTTTAGTTATTTGAAAATAGCAGAAGCTCAAGAGAAGAAAATTGAAAATAGTGCCGTAAGTTTTCTCATTTTCTAATAAGTAGCCACGCTTTGATTTATATTTCTTTAATATTCAAGGAATTATTAGATTTGGATGATGAAGTACGTGAAAACTACCTAGAATTGTTGACACGGTTTTATGCTGCTTTTGAAAGTATACATCAATATGCAGAAGATTTGAAACAATATGTTGATGAACTTAATCGAGGTTACTACATACAACAATCCTTAGAAACGGTGCTGCAGGACGAAGAAGGAAAGCAATTAATGGTATTTGTAATAAAATATATGTTATTACACTCTCTTTTTCATAACTATTCAAATATTTAGTGCGAATCTCTATATCTCTTTGGCGTTATTTTGATCTTAGTCGATTATCACATACCGGGCATAGTAAGGGAACGCCTGCTTATCTCCTACTACCGTTACAGTGGTGCAAAATCACATGGGGACAGCAATATAGACGATGTTTGTATGCTATTGCGATCCACTGGATTTATTGCAAACAAAAATTCTTCAGCTACTAATCTTAAGACGAATGCAGTCACTAATTATCCCGAAACATATTTTGCTCGTTATACTTTTGATCAAACTTTCATTGACTTGGTGTTAGGACGGTTGCGATGTGATGACGTATATAATCAACTTTCTGTATATCCACACCCAGATCATAGAACTACAGCGTTATCAACGCAAGCAGCAATGCTCTTTGTTTGCCTATTCTTTTCACCCAAGACGTTGCACACACAAGTAGCGCAAATGCGCGAAATTGTGGATAAGTTTTTTGCAGATAATTGGGTTGTATCCATCTCTATGGGAGTTACTGTTAATTTAATAGATGCCTGGGAACAATTCAAAGCAGCTAAGACAGCACTAACTTCTGTAGAAACTATTGCTGTTAAAGGATTCTGTTTGCTGCACCAAGAAAAGTTAACGAAAACACTAAAGAAAACTAACGAAATTTTGCGAGATGGTGTACTCACCGACTTTTTTGTACTAGAGCACATTTCTAAAATAATAATACTGATACGTGAATGCAATGTATTGCTACGTTGGTACTTTACTCACACCTCCAAATGCATTTCGGAAATACCACGTGCCAATTCGAAATCTAAAACTGTTCAGGAACTTGTTTGCAAAGAAATTAACTTTGAAAGCAAAAAATTATTTGAGTTGTTACTCAATTGTAGTCAATTGGAACTAACTGTGAAGGAACAACTGCGAAATCTAATGCAGGAGAGAGAAACACGTTGGAGTAATTGCAAGCAAGAAGCCTTAGATCGTTTAAACGAACTTGCCGAAGCTTTTCAAGGTAGTAGGCCATTGGCGAAGATCGAGAGTAACCCACATTTAAAACATTGGTTTGCGGAAATGGCAAAAGAGATTACAAATTTAAAATCTGACAATCCTAACATATCTGGACGTATGTTAATTCAACTGATACAAGCACTTGAGGAGGTTGAAGAATTCCACAATTTACATGCTAATATGCATGTTAAGCAGTATCTTTTGGAAACTCGCAATTATTTACATAAAATGATACAGGTAAATTAAAATGTTAGTCATATATTATTATATTATGGTATTTATATTATTATATATTATTTATACTTTAAATACAATTTTAGATACTCAATGTTAAGGAAGATATTTTAATCAATCTACAAATAATAAGTGATTTCAGTTATGCCTGGCTTTTGATCGATCGAGACTTCACAACTACAATGCAGCAGAGTATCAAAAAGCAACCAAAATCTGTTATGCAATTGCGAGCCGTTTTTCTAAAATTGGCAAGTGCCTTGGAAATACCTCTACTTCGAATCAACCAGGCTAAAAGTGAAGATCTGGTTTCTGTATCTCAATATTATAGTAACGAACTGGCAAACTATATACGGAAAGTATTACAAATTATTCCGGAAAGAATTTTTAACATTCTTTCCCAAATTATAAATTTACAAACTAATGAATTGAAAGAAATACCAACTAGACTGGAAAAAGATAAATTGAAGGAATTAGCACAGTTCGAAACATGTTATATGATTTCCAGGCTAACTCATGCAATAGCTGTATTTACAGAGGGCATGCTTCAGCAGCAGAGAACTCTTGTAGGTGTTATAGAACTTGATCCAAAGCAGTTACTAGAAGACGGCATACGAAAGGAATTAGTTAAAAATCTGGCAAAAGCACTTGATGAAGGTTTAACATTCTCGCAAAATAAACACAAAAATACTACTTTGGAATTAGAAGCAAAATTGCTTCAACTTGCCAAAATTATGGATGGATACAGACGCTCTTTTGAATATGTGCAGGATTATTTAAATGTGCATGGCTTAAAAATATTACAAGAAGAATTGACGCGTATAATCAACTATAATGTTGAGAAAGAATGTAGTGCTTTTTTGCGGAACAAAGTGCAAGATTGGCAGTCCCAATATCAAAGTCAAACCATACCAATCCCAAGTTTTCCACTAACCAACGGAGATCCTACTAAATCTAATAATTTCATAGGAAGGTTAGCACGTGAATTATTGCATTGTACTGACCCGAAACAAACAATTTACTTGGACTTGAAAGCAACGTGGTACGATAAACGTTCTCCACACAATCAGGTATTAGACACCCGATTCTTTGCCAAAATGCGAGAAGCAATATGTCCAGCTGGTTTAGTGGGATTGGATCGTCTATACAGTCATATGATTACTGCAGAAATGAAAGACAATCTAGACAAATTACAAAAAAATATAACAACCGATAAAATGTGGACTGAAGCTCTTAGTATGTTGACTGCAGAATTGGAAACAGAAACGAGTATATCAAATCCAGTGAAATATTTTAACAGCTATCATTCCCGATGGCTTAAGGTTTGGCCCACAATCTTAAATTGCGTTTTGCAATTGGGACACAAACAAATACTAAGGCAACAAATTGCATGCGAATTGAATAGAAGTAGCAAATGTAATTCAAAGAACTTGGAATCGGCTTTGGAAACTTTCAATAGGTATGAGCTATGATTATGATAGTATGAGCAGCTATTATGAAATGAAATATATAACATTTTATTTATATTTAGAGCCTTGTTGCATGAATTGGAAAAGAACAATGAACCCACAAAGTTGACAAAAAGTGAAGGGAGTCAAATGCTTGTTGAGGTGAACGAGTACTTACTGTTTACGGGCTCTTATGAACCACTGGAACAAGTTTTTGTAATAGTCAAAAACTCACATCAAATAGCATTATTTTTATTTCTGTTTACTCTTGCACACGTTTCACGTTTGCAATTTTCACAAAATACCAATTCTCTACTTGCTAAAGTCGTCAAGGATACAATAGATGGTATACCTTTGATAGTGGGTTTGATAACAATATTACAACAATATCACACTGAACTTAAAACGCTTTATCTTACCTATCTCTGTCAGTATGTTAAGATGGTTGTGGAAGCAAATCTCACGTAAGTATATACTAATATAACTATTATCGCAAACTGACTTCTATTATCATTACCTCATTCCTATTCCTAACTCTTATTCTCGGTTTTAATGATGACATCATTTATATGGTAGTGCAAGTTTTATTTGGCCTACTAAGCCTCTAGAAATGATCGCGTTTCACGGTAATGGAGAAGAACAACACAAATACATTTTAAAACCCTTAAGTGAGATTCAGTTTTAACTCGTAATACTTTAGTTAGTTTTGGTGAAGGGAGGAACGAGTCCTCCTCGTAGTACTATTGTCACCGTTATTTTCAAAAGTTGAAATGAAGTGTAAAAATGTTTTGCCGGAAATACTAATTCAAAATTTTTTGTTTGAAGTTGTTGTTATACCGCGCTGCGACCTCAAAGCGGATAACATGAAAGGATTTACAAGACGATTACTTGGGTTAGGATGTGGATGGGTGGTGGTTAAAGATGGGGGAGAGGAATTGGGATAAGGGGCCAATGAATAGTTACTTAGAATAAGGGAGGTGTTGAACGGTACATGATCGTCGAGATTAACGACTGGCTCCGAGATGTAGACCCGGCTGTTCTTGGAACTTTGTTGAAAATAGTTACTAAGTGCTGTATTAAAAAAGAAAATACCAATGGCAAGTACAAAGGTAGTAGGGAGCTATTCATGAACTATATGTGTAAAATTTTCTCATGTGACACATTAGAAATGTATTTCAGATAAACCGTTTCTGTTTACGTGCGCTTTCTGGTACACCATTTCGTGAGTTGTTCGACTAACATTGCCGCTCCATAGAGGAACAAAAGTACTAAAATTAGTTTAGTTTAGCTTAGTTTATCCACATAAACCAATTCATTTCCTACTCCCTATATTCTCTTCAAACAATTCTCCACAAACTCTTTGTCTAAGTATTTCCCTTTTTCCCTGTTTTTTATTTTTATTTTGTGGTTTATTTTCTATTTTATTAAGACCATAATGGTTATAACCACAAATGCCTCGTATGGATTTAATGCGCTGCATATATTTAAATTCGATTATCATACATTCAATATGTATCCAATCATTTAATATTTTCTAATGCTATTTACAATCGATTTCATTTTAGAGCCAAAAACGAGTTAGGCCAGGAACTCACAACAATTATGCATTTTCTTGAAGTTTTCGTTCGCATGTCCAAAACACCGCGCAGTGTTTTGACAGAGCGTATACCACCGATAATTCTAAATCAGTTCCAATATTTAAGCATTAATGTTAAAAGCTGAGCTCTTATATGAAACAATAATTTAATTCCATTATTTATAACTTTTATTTAATGTTTGTAATAAGCAACAAATGCAATAAACTGTGAAATAACAAATAAATTTGACTTTACCAGTAACAGCGAATGGAACAAGAGGGGTATAACAAAAAGTATTAACCGGTTTATCAGATATAAGAAATTAACGTATTATAAACATATATTTAATATAAGCAACTTTAAGTGATAACAGTGGGTGCATTACGTCCAGTAAACTTTGGTAATTCTGATATTTCCAATGCTATATCAATCAGCGGTTTTAGCATTTCGCTAGCTTTGCCGAGAACATTGTCTCTTTCATAGGAATCAATATACAAACTGCAAAATAGAAGTTTCGTTATGTATAGTGTGAACTAAAAAACATTGTATTTTATATAAGTAACTTACCGAACAGTAGCTCCAGAACTGCCGGTGCCACTCAAACGCATGACTATGCGACTACCATCTTCGAAAACTATACGCAACCCTTGCTTATTGGCAATTGACTTATCCACGGGATCAGTATAGCTAAAGTTATCTGCAACTTTCACTTTGTATGATTTGTCTCCTCTGGTGTAAACTTTACCAATAAATGACGCAATAGTAATATTTTTTTCCATAGTACTCATCATTTCATTGCAAGGTTCCAACTCGCATTCTTCATAATCATAACGCGTAAAATAATTGCGTCCATAAATGGACCAATGATTCTTTAGTATATCTTCTATGCTCTTGCCAGTATGTTGCATAACTGACAGCCAAGCCAACACTGCCCATATACCATCCTTTTCACGTATGTGATTAGAACCGGTGCCAAAGCTCTCCTCGCCACATAAACACAAACGGCCGGCATCCATTAAATTACCAAAGTATTTCCAACCTGTTGGCACTTCAAATACTTCTTTGCCTAGCTTCTTTCCTACGAGATCCACAGCAGACGCTGTAGGCATGCTTCTTGCAAAACCTTGAATGCCATTTTTTTGAAAATATGGAATACAATTCAAATAATGCGCAATGACGGCAAGCGAATCGCTAGGAGTTACAAAAAATGCTTTACTTCCAATGATCATATTTCTGTCCTGTTAATAGTTGTTTTTTGTTAGTATTTAAATAAAATACAATTATATTTTAAAACTTACACCGTCACCATCAAAAGCAGCGCCGATATCATAGTCTCCATTAGCTACAGTTTCTACAAGATCCTTAGCGTAAGTGAGATTTGGATCAGGGTGCAAACCACCGAAGTCGGGTAATGGTATTGTGTGTACTACGCAATTCTCTGCTGCACCTAAGCTGTTGAGAAAAATTTCACGTACATAGGCTCCAGTTACGCCGTTCATAGAATCAATTCTCATCTTTAGGGGCTTGCCGGTTGACTTGCCACTAACATATTCCCTCAACTTGGCAAAGTCAAAAATTTCCTTCATGTGTCGCACATAATTTGCAACAGAATCAATCACTTCGACAACAAACGTTTTTCCACCGATCGTGTAATTGTTGACGCCGATGTTGCTAATGTCTATTTGGAGTTCCTTAATTATTTTGTAATCTTTAATGGCAGTTGAAAGTTGGTAAATGTTATTAGTAAATGCGTCTGGTGCTGGGCCACCATTTTCACAATTGAATTTGATGCCGAAATCATTATCAGGTCCACCGGGGTTATGAGAAGCAGTCAGAACGATACCACCTTAAAATAACAAATTGCATATGTAATCCATTAAACTCTATGGTATAATATATAAAATGTGTTTGCAAATGAAAAAAGCAATGTCATGCATTCGTGAATGATAAGAAATTGTTTCGTTGATATATAAAAGTTGTGCTTTATCAGCAAATCTCAGCAAACGATTTCTAAATATTAAATTATTTATTTACGTTAAACATGAGTGGCGCTTTTAACTCTTTCAAATGCATTGCAGTCTAATAATCTAACAATTGCATTTTTCTTATCAGTGTTTTCCTTATAGTTAATGAAAGGTTATCACGAAATATGCCTTGAACAAGGAACAATTATAAGAAAACTAAAAATAAATCCAATTGAATGTTGAATGTACTCACTCACCCAAAGCCTTATTGTGCCTAATTAAACTGGACACAGCGGGAGTTGAAAGAATTCCATTTTGTCCAACCAATAATTTGCTTACCTTTTTAATAAAAATTCTTATTAAAAGAGGAAATTAATTATTAACCCTTGCACTTACGCCGTTCGCTGCACACATACGTATAATTAGCTCTGCTGCATCTTTACAATAAAACCTGCCATCACCACCCACAACCAAAGTTGATCCGTTTAACGCAGCTCCATTTGCATCGAGGATGCATTGTACAAAGTTTTCCGTATAATTTGTTTGAGTAAATACTTTAACCTTGAAATATACAAAGCTATTGATATATAATTTTCTTTAAATATTTGGTGAATTGTATTTTCCGTTTCCCTACTTTTTTGCGTAATCCACTGGTGCCTGGTTTTTGTCCCTCGTAGGGTGTTGTTATCACCGTTTGAATATTTAAAGTCATTTTCACTTTGCATATATTTAATATAAATTTATTATTCAATATTATTAATTAACCATACGAACCAGATATTTCACTTTAAAAAATTCTGCCTCTGCTTCCTCCACCTGAAGTAATCGAACACTGCGCCTATACTGATTGTACGCTGCTATATTGCTGATATATGTACAATATGACCTTCTAAAGGTCAAACTGAATCAAGGAAGCTTTTACTTACTATATTTTCGATGCTGTTATTTTAATTACTCTGTACACGAAAACAATTAATTTATCAATTTTAATTTTTAAATATATATAAAAACCTATTCTATCGTACTTTTATCTATGTTACGTGTATTTTAATAACCGCCTTTATTTACATAAACAAAACAAAATGTAAACAAACGTCCACAGTGGCACCTGTTGTTGTTGTGCAGGGTTGTACCTTTTCTGAAACTCACCACATATGGTTAACACGTTTTAAACCGTGTTGAGTACGTAATAACATCACATACGCGATAGTAAATCCATGTAGGAATAAAATTTATCTGCCATTAATTTGTTTGGAAGTTGTGAAACCATCGTTTATATACCATAAATCAATATAAAATTAATATAATGAGATTATTATGATTGATTTTATTGCGGTTATTTATAATAAAAACCATATAAAGACAATATGATGTTTATTGTAGTGGCCATCATCATAAAACGAAGCAATAGGGCACAGGCTTCATTGTGAGTGAAAATGCACGTGAATCAGTACTTGGCTTTTAATTAATAAATAATATAGTTATCGTATGTGGTTACGCCCCAACAAAAAAGGCTGAGGTTAAGAAAAACAAAATTTCGATTTCTACGAATCTCTAGAGAATGCCTGTAGTAGTATCTTTGAATATGATACTAAAATTATCCTTAGTGACTTCCATTCAAAAATTGGTAGGAGAAGATTTTGTAAACTAAACAAACATTTAAACTAAACTATCACTCCAAAGAGAAACCTGGGCTAACGGGCTAAGATTGTACCAACTAGCAGCAATAACGGACAGTTACATATGTAGTACGCACTTTGCACATAAACATAAACTTAAATGAACGTGGACTATGCTATTTGAGAGATTATAAGAAGTGGTAATGTTACCAGAACAATGCCAATATTGTATATGTAAACATACTATGTTTGGGAAGAATCGAAATGAGAAGAAAACTAAGTACATGAAATTATTAAGATCGGATGACAGCCGCAAAGCACATATCAAAGAACGCAACTACACACTTGATAGACTGGAAATATTTTGGAGTACTGAATTATAGTGTCAATCCAAGATAGACTTATCCTAAAGACTACTATCATCTATGCACATAAAAATATATTTTCAGCAAGATTATCGTCTACAAAATCGAAAAAGTCCTTTTTTTAGTTTATAAATCTGAAATGTAGATTTTAACAATAGGAGAACAATTTTATACTTGTTTTTGAAAGAAAGATTCTATGGAAAATACTAGCACATAACGTAATGTAAATGAAGTCTGTAGATAAAGACATTTTCATTTATAAACACAACTTCTAAAACATTATGAAAAACGCAATTAAGATTAAATCATGATATGGTATGTGAAAATGTTTTTAGCAAAATTACATTCAAAATTACAATTTCTTCTGCTCTGTGAATAAACGATGACGTAATATGTAAATACAAACAGAATCATTCTTCACTGAATGAGTATCATTTAGTTGAATTAAAATCTTAGTTCAAATTTCTAAGTATAATGTAATATAATCCTGAGATTTTTAACCATTGGGTAAAAATTTTTGGTAAACTAACTATTAAATATAACCACCAATAAGAAGATTGGTCAGAATATGTTAAATTTAGTTAAGTAATTGCAATAAATGGAATATTTACAAACAATTTTTAAAGAAGTGTCTTATTTTTATATATATTATTTTAGTTTATCACACATTAGATGATTTTGAAGTTCGCAAGTGGCAAAAAACGGCAAGTTGCCGGTCTATAATTGCTTAAATGTACGCAAAAGAACAACACTTCTTTCTCTAGGCGTTTCGGTGGCTCGCAAGTGTGGCAAAAACCAGTAAGTTGCTAGGCTATAGTTCTTTAAATGTACGCAACACTACTTTCTCTGTCTAAGCACCTAGTTGTGAAATCGTCAAACACTTTGGCCACTAAAGAAAAAAGTATTACCAGAGCCATAAGCGAACTATTGTGAACCTTCATTGGAAATTTCAACAAAATTTCAGTCATATGTCAAAAGATTGTAAACAAAAGTGCAAGTAAAATTAAAGTCACAAATTTGAAAATTGTGAAAATAAAATATTTCAGAAACATTCATAATTGTGGAAAATAAATTTTTTAAAAATATATACATATAAATATGTAAAATTTTATAGGAGTACATGAAGAAAGTATAATTGAAAATTATTTAAATTTTCTTACTTATCAGTTGCATAAATATTCTAAACTATTATTAATTTTGTTGTTAAAGGGAAATTTCACAATTTCCCGCATTCTTAACATTACTTTTAATTCATTATTTGTTTTAATTTCCAATTTTATATTAATTATTTTTTTTTATACAAAATGTAATTTACTTGCGTTATGTGCACATATGCAAGATTTGTTATTTGCCAAAACATAATATTTAACAGATTGCAACAGTGATGCTAATGTCTTGCTTAACGCCTATAGGCCAGCATTCTGTGTTTTGGCACACTTGCGACCCACCGAAAGCGCCTATTATTAAACTTTCTAAGTTTAAAGTTTTCTGAAGTTTTCATTTACAAATATTTTGGCAGACGGCTAAAGTTGTTGTTATTGTGAATGACATTTAAGAAAATAAGATGCGACACTGCAATCATATGCAGACACGAAGTTGTACGAGGCTTGACATTATTGTACGAGGTATTCCACGTCACATTGGAGCATTTGTTACAATTGAAGCGACGAGTTGTCTTGTAGGGGTGGCGGTTTTTGGTGTCAAATACTGTTGAATAGTAATATTATTAAAATGTAAGTTTTTAAAATAATTGTAAAAAAAAATCTTTTTATGTGGAAAAGCCAAATTAAATATATAAAATTAGGTTCTTGTGAATATATTAATTCCGAGCTCTCCACGTCAACGAAAAAAGTGAAATTTGTGTTTTGTTGAAAAACATTAAATAAACATTTCTTTCCAGCATGTATAAAACATTACTGGTTATTTGTGCCTTCTTGGCAATTTTCAATGTGTGTTCATCTGAAGAGGAGGCAACTACAGCCACAGCTCGCCTGCTGGTTTCAAAACAAATTTTGAATAAATATTTGGTTGAAAAGAGCGACTTGGTTGTCCGTTATAATATTTACAACGTTGGTAGTGGTCCTGCTACTAGCGTTAAGTTAACTGATAACGGTTTCCATCCAGATGCGTTTGAGGTAGTTGGTGGCCAGCCCTCTGCTGTGATTGATCGTATTGCGCCACAAACCAACTATACACATGTGTTAGTTGTGCGTCCAAAAGCTTTCGGATATTTCAACTTCACTGCCGCCGAAGTCTCTTACAAGCCAATTGAAAACGTCGATAAGGTAAACTTCAAAAAAAAAATTAGTATTTATTTAGTTCTTAAAAAGACTGTTTTATTTTAGGTGCAATTTGCTGTCAGCTCCGAACCTGGTGAAGGTGGAATAGTCAACCTAAATGATTTCAATAAGCGCTTTTCTTCTCATTTCTTTGACTGGGTTGCTTTTGCCTTCATGGCGCTACCTTCTTTAGTAATTCCATTATACTTATGGTATTCATCCAAAAGCAAATATGAACGTTATGGAAAGCACAAAAAGCATTAGAAAAATACATTTTTATATGAAATCGCTAGCAATAAGTAAAGCTCTTTGCATTGTGTAAGACTATTGTATGATGGTGTAAATTTTTTACAATTTTTTGTATATTCTGTACTCAAGATGTTCTTTTCCAAATATAATTTATTTGAAATTTTTGTTTTATCAGGAAAAGAATTTGAGACTGAAAAATCGTTTTAGATTTGCTTTAGTGAAGCTAAAAAAGAACAAGTTAACATCATATGTAAATTAAAATAAAGCTTTTATAGTTTAAAAAACTTTTCTTTTTTTTTGAAACGAAATCATATTAATATTGAGCATAGAGTGAATGCGAAACATGCAAAACTTACTAACATTTGAACATCCTACACTGAATAGTTTTACTAATATTGTATTTGACAATTACTAAGAAAAACTTTGAAATGACCAAAAAATTTGAAATTGGGTTTTAAAGTTAAGTCTTATTTTATATACTTTATCAGATTTTCTTAAATTATGATAACAAATATTTTTTTCCGAATAATTGAGCTTTTTTTTCAAACGTAGCTGACTTAATAGGCGAATTTATTTTGTAAAATGAATTCATAGAATGTTTAACGTAAGTCTCGTACATTTCATTGAAGAAATTCTTTATGCCCTCGTCAGTTTTGCCATCGTGAACCATAATGAAACGTATTTGACTGGCGGTGACAAATGCAGAAACATACCACTGATTAAATCTATCGATGGATTTTAGTTGCATATTTACTGTCTTCCACTTGTGTTCATCCACCAAGTCTAATGCAGCATGTGCAATGAACTGCGTCAAGTGATCTTCTTTCTAAATCAGAATAAAAATCATAATATAAAATTCAACTGCAATTAAAAATACGTGAAAAATTATTTTTACTCGCAATTCTTTATTTCCAGATGTAAATTCCATTTCAAAAATCGGATTATCACTATGTCCAATTATAACAAAATAAAAAGTTGACATGATTTTATTATTTGAGAAATTATAGTATAGTAATAAACACAAATATATAGAACAGCTGATTCAATACAATACTTAAGTGTTGAAATGTGACAATAGATACTAGAAACAAAATGTAGTGTTGATAAACGTGGAAAATGTATATAAATTTTCCACGTTATGTCGTTATGGCACCGAATGTTGGTATTTACCAGACGAGTCGGATAAATTTGATAAAAATTAGGTAAATTAGGTGTTACCATTGTGAAAATTTTATAAGATGTTTAATAAATAAATTTGAAAACTTTTAACCAAAAATAATAAGTGCAATAAATAAATAAATAAGTATTTACATAAGTGCAATGCAAAAAAATTCCTAGGAAATTTCAATTTGCTATATCACAATTTACTCGAACTCGCACACGGCCATAAATATACTCATAAATGTATATATATAAAAATTTCATCTATAAAAATATCTGTCACATGATTTTATTATTTTTTTTCAATAGCTTCATAATTAATAATAGTCTGGCAATCTTCCTGCATTGAAAAGTTTGTTTTGGTATCTTGTGTCGTTCGGGTTTGTTAGGTTTTTCTCCATTAAAAGTTTTAGGCTAGGGATTCTTCGACGTAAGAAGTTAGCGATTATCAAGCTAAGAACCATTGGTTTAGTTTTAGAATTTTATAATAATTAATTTTTCTAATTAATCATATGGAACAACTGAAAAATATGAATTTATTGGATTTGCCGAATGTCATACTTGTCGAAATCTTCGAATATCTGTGCTACGAAGAAGTCTCTAAAAAACGACTGGTAAGCAAATATAAAACTTTCTAATATTTTAATTATCTGAAATGACAATTATGCAATAAAAATTTATTATACTAATTGTTAAATATACAATAAAATATAATTTCGCTATCAATATAATACTTAGTGTAATATTTAATATACTTAATGCTATAGGTTTGTCGTAGAATAGATCAAATATGTCAACGCGTACTCACTGCTGGATTCAATAGGGTAGTACGACAGCATTCAATAAGCTCCAAGCGTATCAAATCGTTGTTACCACGTAGAGAATCTGAAAGGCGGTAGGTGTATTTATTTTTTATTGAATAGATATATAAAATGGTAAATATAAATCATCATTTTAGAAACCATTGCTTAGCTCGACACGCTGACATACTTACGTCCATTGAAACACGTATCTCAATGCTTTCAATGACGTATGGTAAGTATATGGATCTTAGCTTATGTTGTTTTATACCTGGCAGAGTATTGGATGAAATATTTCGCATACTACGTTTAATTTCCAAAACGGCAAAACAACTCAGGCCGCACGAAGTACTACAAGAATTACGAGACATTTCCTCTATGGCAATAGAACATTTTGATGAAAAAATTGTTCCATTAATTAAAAAACCTACAATGCCTGAAAAATACGTTTGCAAGCCCTCCACAAGCATCTCACTATTTGGGGATTGGTTGTCTCCACAATCGTCATCGACTTCAACTCTAACAGAGAGTAGTGCGATTGCAGAAAGTAATAATACTTCATTAAAAGTTTTACAAGAGCGTGTTAACAATTTAATTAACAATTTGGGACGTACAGATTTTCTAGCTGAATTTAAGAAGCAACAACCTACAGTTGAAGCCACAGAACGAGTGCTTAGTTGTTCATACCCACATAATTGTAAAGATGGCCGAGCTGCTCTGATGTATTTTAGAAAGCTAGAGATTGAATATAAGAAAAGCATAATGAAGGTCAGTAATTGGTTTTTGATAAATACTCAATTTTAATAAATAAATGTCTTCCTATAGATACACCGTATGCAGCAGTTTCAAGTAGAAACAACACGTCAATTGCAGCAAACAATGACTACAGTTAACGAACTGTCAACCCATTTAAACGATGTTAAGAAACGCTTGTTAGAAGTTGATGCGAAAAATCGAGAGCTAACTGCTAATATTAAACAGATGAAGAGTGGTGAGCTTCCATCTGTCCCTGATGTTAATGTTAATGAATCAACTAGTGACAAACTAACTGATAACAACTCTTCAATTGCGGACTGTAGTAGTATTTCTCCAATTACTGCCAAAAAGCGTCGTCATACCATAAACTCTATTTCTGAAGCACTTGATACTTCTCTTATTACTATTGCCTTTAAGCCTCTCGAAGAATACACAAATGATGCAAAAAAACCAAAACTTGAATAGTGGACTACTGTAGCCACTGAATACTTACAGAAATTATCTGTAAAATTGGTACCTAATATATAACCGAATATAATAATTCTCAGCAATCGTATTAATCTTTAACCAAACATTACACATTTAATTTTATATTCACTAAATTTTTAAACTTACTGTAATCATAATTAATATTAGTTTTCATTTGATTAATGAAATATTCCACTGTAGCAAGCAACAATAAAATAAAGTTACGAAATCCTCTGTTACTTATTTAAAACATCTACATATGTATAAGTATATTTCTGTTAATAGATTGAAATGTGTGTGTGTGTGTGCGCTTCTTTTTATTTAAATTTTTTTAGTTTGCTATTTTGGAAGTTTTTAATGATCATTTTAGTTCAATTTATTTACTTTAAAACTAAATGAGTTATACTTAGTCGCTTAAATGATTGGAGACTCGACGCTTTATAAAAAGCAGCTTATACAGAGTATGATATGAGAGGCTTAGCTGTTTCCAGTGACACCAATATAAGACTTTCAGTAGGCCTCTTTTAGTATAAACATATATTATGGATTCATCTGTAGGTGTTTTGATGTCATTGTGTCAAGCCTATATCGATTAAGCAAAAATTCTACTTGTTGTAGATTCACATATATAGGACCATCATATCATTGTCGGTAAATCTCAGCTAGAGAATCAACAGAGTTAAGAGAAGAGACATCGAAAATAAATTAAATCATTTGTTAAAATCAGCAACTGGAATGGAAACCAAGAAACACCGGAGAATCTTTACAATAACACCAAAGCAGATATTTCGAAATAAGCTGGAGCGTGTTCACCAAAGAGCATCGAAGGAAGTTTAGAAAAACTAATGAAAGACATTTAGAAAAGAATCCTTGAGAATATATGCCAAAAACTTCGGAATGTATCCACTAAAGGGTATTGGAACAGGTGCACCAAAGAACATTGCAGCAGATCCATCAACGAACGCTGAAGGAGGTCAGAACACATTAATTCAAATTATCGTGATATAAATAGATGATAAATTGAGTTTTAAATGGGTATTTTTGCGTTAAATACTACCGTTGATTATGCAGAACATAGTTGTTCTCTTGTTCCGTATTTAAAGAGTGCTGTGAGAAGTTAGGTAGCAGAGTTAGGAGACTACCAACAATTATTTAACTCGTAGACAGCTCACGCATTAAAGACGGAATATTGTTCAAACTCATAATATTATATCAAAAACTACATTTCACAAAAATACATTGGATCATTTCGTAAAGGCAATTTTCACATTCATACTTCAGAAAATTAAATATCCTTAGTAAGTCGATAAGCAAGTTCGACTTACTTATCGATTTTCAATGCTTTGTTTCAAAAGAAAATAAAACCGGGCTGAGCGATATTTTGTGATATTTATATATTTCCTGCTCTTCTTATATGAAGTATAAAAACCAATGATAACTATTTTTATGAAATTTTTATTGTTGCACTTTTTAATTTTTTTAAAATACATGGAACATCTCTAATGTAAAATATTAAAAATAATTTTAAAATCTCTTTAATATATATAAAACAAAATCATTTAAATCGTATTGTTAACATAAATTATTACACGCTTTGTCTTTATTCTTAACTTATACAATAAAATAATAATTTTGTAGAATACTTCGTTTTTAAAACATTAATCATTACTTTTTTAATAAAACAAACTTTTGTAATATTCAATATAAAGTGGATCTATATATGTATGTATATATATAAGTATGTGTTAATTTATGTACAATTTATTGTACAAAATAGAAAAAACTTATTCAATAACTGCACTACAAAGTTAGCTTATTTAGAATTATTTTTACTAGACCCTAGAGACGTTGTCACATTGAGGTTGTGTGAATAACATTTACTGCAAGCAGCCTGCGATATATAATAGAGTTTCTGTGTACTTAGTTTAACATTAATTATCTTACAATAGATATTTATATATATACATATATAATATATCTATATATATAAGTGTTTATAATATTATGTTTAGGAAAAAGAATTACTTTTTATTATAATTATAAATATAAAAATTGCAACTCATTTATTGCAGTTTATTTGTGTTGAATGAAAAATTGCATGTTTGCACTTTAGCTACTTTCACTCTACAAATAATTAATTCCTATAAAATATATGATTCGACATAAGTCGTTTTTTATTTTGTTATTGCATTTGGTTATGTATGCAGCGTACAAAAAGGAAATTTGTTTTCTCTGTTCTTATAAAGCAAACCATTTAAGTATAATTACTTTTTATACCTATTAGTAGAAAACGTGCTACAATTTATGATATTCCATATTTTTGCAATTCTATTAAAAGCATTGTATTCATTTTGAAAAACAAGAAAGCTCGCACCAGATATGCTATAGATATTTCTAGATCTAGAGATCAAACAGGAACATACTATATGTATTTCATAAAAAATGTTCAATCTTTATACTATTCAAGCATGAAAATTGCAAACAAATGGAAAATTGCTAACAACACATTAATAATCCTGACATATACAATCTAGTTACAATGGACGTAATAATCTCAAATTGTTGCAAACATTTTTTCTAATAATCAAACATAAAGGAATTTTGAGTCATCGTATATACACATCTGCATGCATATATGTCAATAAGTACAGAATACATCCAATGTATTGAATCTGAGATTTCAAATCACATTGCCAAACATTCTACTTTGACATGAAGTAATCAAGAATATGAAATTCAACTAACCGCAATAAACTTTTCATATAATATTTTTTTTTTTTTGATTGCCAAAAAAAATCACGATAAATATATATGTTAGAACAAATAAATATTAGTTACACAGCTCATCATACATAAAGTTAAAGTTAGCTTTAACTTCACTCAAGCTCCAGCAAGTTGCATAAATTTACTTATACTGACAATACTGATTTATTATCTGGACCTACCACTCTACGACCTAAAGTCATTAATCTACGACCTAGAGTCATTAGTATATGTACCTGAGCTACAGGTTTTTGAACCAGAAAATTTGGTTTACCACTCATAGCCATTATGACCCGTTCACTGGTCTATCACCCAAAGCGACGGGTCTATCACCCAGAGATACAGGTCACCGACCTGCAGCCATTGTTCTACTACGCGTAGCCATTATTTTATGATGCTTCTGACACTTCCTGATCTACGATAACTAATCACCACACACCAATCCCGTCGGAGTTTTGGTATTAACAACAGTAAAATAAACAAAACACAAACAAATGTTTACCATTTACTTTTAAAAAAATAATATATACATGTTCTTTAAACTGATTTTGCATAAATTTTTGTGATCTAAAAGTGAAGTTTAGTGAACGAACTACATAAAATGTGTAATATTTTTTCGTTAAATTTTGTGTTCTCGAATTGAATAACTGTTGTTGTTTAAACGAATTAAGTTTATAGAAAATTTTTAAAGCTTCAGTTTGTGCTGCTAAGAACAGTTACACACAGTTCGACGGTTACACTATCAAATATAACTACAACAGTCAACTTAAAGAGCTCCTATGCTTCCGTAAACGGAGCGACTTGTCAACAAACGCGTAGAGATATGTACTATTCCTGAGTTGCAATATATTTGATGAAGTATCATTGCGTGATTCATACTCATAGCATATGTAAGGAATTTACGTTGGGATAATAATAGCTTTGCTTATCTATCCTTTTAGATTATATTGAAATTTAACAATTTGTTTAAAAAGTATTGCATCCACGCGTTTACTGACTTTTACAAAGTGCTATAACTGGAAACATTTGCATTACGTAAACTAATTCTCAAAACTAAATTTCCTTCCATTGGCTAAACGCTTTTCTCACTTCTGACAAAAATATACATTCAACGGAAACATCATAATAGCAGCACATTTCCAACTTTTGTTCTAATTAATTTCATTTACTTTCCTTTCTTATTGGTAACTGCGCTTTTCTTTTGATGTAATTTGTCCTTTAAATGTTTGATAAGATTTTGGATGTCCTCTACACTATATGCGAAAATCAGCTTAGACTGTTTAGCTTGCAGATTTCCATTGTTAAGATTTTTTAAAGCATGTTGCAGACAGTAGACGCTTCCTTCATCCGTCTTCACCATAGATATATACAGATTAGCACGACATAAATCACATTCCCCATCGATTAATTTCAATGGTGGTTGCTGTTGTTTTTTCGCCTTCGTACCCTTTTCGTTTTGCACTTTCTCTATCGTTGTTACACCAGCGGACTATGATTTAAACAAACAATAAATATAAATATTTTTTATATTATAAATGACCTACTTTTAGTTTTTCTCTGGCAGAAGTTTCCTTTTCGAAAACATCATTTAACATGGGTAGCATTTGTTGCAATGTATCTAAGGAAACGCGTTGATCGTATCCCATTGTGAACAGCAATTGCTCTAAAGAAAACATGGCCGGTTCGCAGCTATCATGAATATCCTTAAAGAAAATTTTAAAATTGAAATGATGTTTATATATCAAAACAATTTAAATAGCTATTAGCTATTTTACCTTGAAATCATCCTTTGCTAAGTCTAGCCATGTTGTTGTAGCAAAGTAAACACTTTCTGAAACTACGTAACCAGTACCCAAACTGGAGGTATATGCTCGTGGAAATACAACTATAAATTCCCCTGGCTTTTGCTCGATTCGACAAAGTGAAACCCCCCGGTCTGTTAGCATGTGTGGTGGTACCATGACTGTGTCACATGGCAACCATATTGTTTTATTTTGACAATGTGTTGGAATGAGTGAAGTTAACGCAGAACGGAAATTTGCACTTTGATCATCTGGGATGCCATACCACAGTTTGGAAGCACCAGTATGCAAGTATTCAATCCAAGATAAGCCATGTGGATCACGATACCAGCAGCAAGCAGAGAATAACATACCAACATGTAAAGTAGGTACTGTAACGCCCATCACTGGCCCCAATGAACGTAAAACTGATCCAGGATTATTAGTCAGTACTTTTAGATTCCATGGATGACGTGCATAATTTGAACCTTTTCCTTTTGGACCAGGACTAGGAAATCCATATCCCCAGCCCGATGAATCGATCGAACCAGAATGTACACATACATGACTGTCACGTACTGCAACATGTCGCCAAAATTCTGCCTCAACATCATTTACAGTTGGTTCGGTATTCTTAAACCATAAAGCCATTGTATTTCGTGCAATCCTATAAAACTGGCTTAGTGGCATACTGCGGCCCTTAACAATGCACTCCATTGATACACCATCTATTTCTTCTTCAGATTCTTCGTTCTCAGATGAAATATCATCTTCATTGGAACCGCTTTCAGTGTTTGCAAATCTATCTGCGTTACGTCTGGCCCGAGCTTCACGTTTAGCCCAATCTGCTTCTACTTCATCAAATAATTTTTGACGCTCTGCTGGAGACAATGTATCATATGGTAGCAAATATTTACAGTATATATCATCAAGTTTTGTGACACGATCTTGTGCTAACTTTGGTATGCACATTTCCTCAGCTACGCGTGCCCACTTCTTCTTTTCAATAACTTCTTTTAGTCCTCCTAACTCCTGTACAGTATGATACAAACGTGGTAAATCAACTTCCATTCCTCCAATCCATGGCGGTGTATTCATCACAATACTTTGTGTTGTCAAGTACTTTTTTATTGCACTCAGTTCTTTTGCGCTTGGTCCCCATCGATACAACATTTTATGGACATATTGATTATAAGCAGTAAATCTCATTTCATCGGATATACGACATTCTGGTTTAAAATTTGCTGGCGGAATTATTTTACAGATACCAAAACGTGCTGCAATAGGTGTAATACGTTCAATAAACTCAATCGGATCTGCAAATTCTTTTTCTGTTGGTCTAAATATTGGTGCTTCAACCATTTGCGTGGGATCATCTTTTCTTGGAAAGGCCGTATTATTCGACATTTTGATGGGTGTATCATCCTTAAATTTTTTGTTGCTGCTTGTCCCTGCACCACCGATTTTCGATTTCGCTGAACCAGAAAAAAGCGAAGAGCTAGAATTTACTCTTACTAGAGTATTGCCAGTTCCTAAACCAGACGTACTTGCTGGATTCGTAGTTGAATCGGAGGCCTTGAATCGAGGTTGTACCGTACCGATTGGTACACTTTTAAGACTATTTGATGTTGAACTAGCAGCTGCAGCAGCTGCTGCTGCAGAAGTACTAGGTGTGATATTTAAGTTTGGAGTACCAGTAGCAGTAGCATTCTTACTTGTTTCATTAATAGCACTATTTGCTGAAGTTTGATTTGTATTATTTGATGACGTTATAAGCGTTTTAACAATATCTGAAGCATTCATAGATTCAGGTAAAGGCTTCGTATTTGAACCCATTTGCGCTTTGGTTACAAGTGTAGCATGCATAATGACTTTTTGGTTTGGACCCTCAGGACCTTCTCTTCCTAATTTTACGGCCACACCCTGTATACCGCCTTCTGCATCACATCCAGCTCCACTACCCTGAAGCGGAATATAAAATGTGTGTCCATCTGAGTCAGAATCACAATCATTCGTTTTGGTTACTTCATTCTTTTTAGCTGCTTTTGTCGTTGAACCCGCGGAAGCTTTAGCGGCAACTGTGTTCTCTGCATCCAAACTAACTTTGATGAGCTTACTCTTCTCTGAAGGACTTAAAGTAAGAGAAACTGAACTGTTTTGTGATGGGTTTGCAATATCCTTATTTGATTTTTCTGTTGCTGCTGCGGCCCCTTTTTTTTTCGTTGGTGATGTTTTCGCTGTTGGTGTTGTGATGTGCGTTTTATTCTCAGTATCATGACCAGTTTGTCGATGTAATGATGACTTGGATTCTTGTTTCGATTTATCGTCTTCATCATATTTGTCAAATGAATAAATTGATTTCTCATTATCCACAGAGAATGCTCCAAATGAAAAATTTGATCCCTTTTGTTTACCTGTCGACGGAGACTCTTTATTTGGACTTTGCTTTGGTGTTTTTTGATTATATACAGGAGTACGCTTTGGTGTTTTTGGATTTGCATAAGCTGTACTGGAACTAGTTATTGCTTTTTGAACTTTTGTTGTAGAACCTTTATCTTCAACATTCGTAACCGTTGATTGTGCGAAATTTTTCTTTCTACTTGGCTTTGTTGTAGACGAACTTTCTAAAGATGATTGATGTTGCATCACTGCTGAGTTAGTATGTTTACTTGAATTTGAAGCTTCTTTTTCTTTTTCTTTTTCCTTTTCTGTTTTATTTTGCTTATTGTCTTTATTTCCCGATTCTTTAGCAGCACTTTTTTTTTCAACTTTTTTATCAACTTTTTCTTTTGTTTGTTTGTTTTCATTTAAGTTAGTGTTAGTTTTTGATGCGGATTTATGAGTGAGATTTATTGCTTGACCACTAGCGCTTCGGTTTGTTTCTGATGCAACTTCTAAATCAATTAACTTAGTTTCTTCTTTTCTATTAGATGAAGCAATTACTGGAGTAGCTTTAAGTGATGGTCCCTTTGTTGACCACGCACTTTCACTTTTCCCAAAGTCTCTTGTAGCCTTCGATGAAGAACTGAAAGAAGTACTCTCCTTATCATCTCTTGTAGGTGGTGGTGTGGTTGCAAAGTGATTTGGACGTAAATTATCATCAAAATCATCATCCAAATCATCCTGTATTTCATCGGGATTAGACGAACATTCAATCAACCATTTTTGTATCTGCTCATGCGTCATGTTTACTTTTGCTTTACGTCTTTCTTTACTTGATAATTGATCACCAATATACCCCTCAGTTGGAACAACTGGTCCTAATACTGGCTTGTGAATGGATCCACACTTTCCAAGTGTACATTTTGTATTGTCAGGTCCAGAACTTTGTGCGAGACTAACACTAGCAATACCAAATATCTTACCTGATTCTTCTTTGCTCGGCATGAGATTTGCTGCCAAAATACTACCAATTTCGTCCTTTAATGGATCAGCGCTATTTGTTGCGGCAGCAACTGCAACCGCTGCCGCGGATGTAGATGCTGATGTATTTATCGCCGACAGTGTGCTCGTACCTGATATGATTGCAGGTGTTTTCGGACTTTGTAAGTTATGTCCAGCTAATCCAGCTTTTGTTGCTGCATCAAATTTTACTGGGGAAGGTGATGGAAAATTATTTGGACGTGGTAACGTAGTGCGATCAAATTTCGGTGTTAAAAAATTCGGATTTATTTTCGGTGACGGATAAGCCTCAATTGGAGGAGGATATGTCGTTGGTGTTGTTTGATATTTAATTGGGGATTGTTGAGAGAGTGAGCTTGATAAATGTACTGATGCTGATGGAGTTGGAACTGGAGCTGGAACTGTGGGAGATTTCGCAGTAGGAAACTGATGTGTAGGTGTCCTGACAAGATTGCCATGATAATGTGGTGTCATTTGTGGTAAGTAAGAAGTTTTATTAAAACTAGAATTAAAATTTGGACTTGCTGGTACAGATGTTGTCGATGGCACACCATACGTTGCCGGTACGTTTAATATTTTTGATGTAGGCACTGGTGATTTTTTCTCAATTGTTTTAAATGGGCTTGGCGTTTGCGATGTTGGTAAGATTGTAGGTGTTGTTATTGGTGAGATATTTATTTGATGAGATGTCATTGGGGGAGTTAAAACTGGTTTCTGAGCAAGAGGCAGCATTGTTAATGCCGTTGCAGCAACAACCCTGTCGGAATCATAATCCATTATATCAATTTTCTTTAAAATATCTTCGGTGTCCTTATCTACACTTTTCGAGTTCGCTTTAATAGCTAACGGTTCATCATCAGAATCACTAAAGCTCCTTTCAAGTTTTCGTTTAGTTTCATTGACTTCCTCGTTAAGTAAGAAGTCCTCATCATCAGTATCTGCTTTAAGGGGTTCTGATTTCTCTACCATCTTTTCAACTGGTGTTGTAATTTTAGCAATAGTTCCTTTTTTAACCAACATACCTTCTATTTCTCGTTTTACTGGCTCAGGTTTGGGTTGTTTTGGAGGTCGACCACGGCGTGCACCTATAGGCTTTTCTAATCCTCCCTGAGATTCTGGTTTAGTTTGAGATGTAACCTTTTTCTGTAATATAGGTGATGTGCTTATCTGTTTTTCAACTGAATTAGATTGTGCTTTTAACTTTAACTCATTTTCCATTTTTTCCATTTCTTTCACATTGGGTAAATCAGGGTAACTATTCAAGGATAAGTCATCATCATCGTCCTCTGCAAGTTGCAGTTTGTGACCAATTATTCCCATATAAATTGTAGCCCGTTCCTTTGTTTTTCGAGTTGGACGTTGATTGCGTGGAATACTTGCAACAATTTTTTTATTTTCTCCATTTACCACTTGAGTTTCTGTTTTTATTTTTTTTCGAGATTGACGGGCATTTTTAATTTTTTTTGGAGTTTGTTGAGCAGAAATTTCTTTGCTATCTATTTCTTCGATACTTTCATTTTTCTTTTTTGCACCCTTGCCACGTTTAGGTTTCGCTTTAGTCATTTCATTAGATATATCTACTTTCGTTTCAGTTTCCAACTTAATCATTTCATCTGTTGGAGCAATTTCTTTTTGCTCAAAATTTTTAGATATTTCAATTTCTGATTTAGGTTTTATTTCATTCTTTTTGTCCACTGATTTCTTTGGCGATGTCTTTTCAACAACCTTACTATTGACGCGTGGTGTAGTTTTCTTTGCAATTTTTTCTTTTTTTAATTTAATTGATTTTGCCAATGGTTGCTCGTCATCAGATGAAAAATCAAAGACGTTGGCTTTTGATTTAGTTTTGTCAGCGGGTAGTCTTGATACTTTAATAGATTCTGGTTTACCGTTTTCAATACCAATTTTTTCTACTTCTTTTTCTTTCACACTCGATACTTCAACTTTTGGAAGACTTTCAACAGTTTCAACTTTTTTATTAACTATTTCATTAACTGTATCAATTGATTTGTCACCTACTTCTTGTGTATCTTCACGGTGTGGCACTTTCACAGGTTCAAAAAATGCTCTTTGTCTTGTCATACGTCCAGATGGTTCAGGCGAAGGAATAAAAATAGGTGATTCTTTTTGTCTGGGCCGTTTCACGGGAGGTTTTTCTTTTGTATCTTTCAGCGACTGTTCCTGTTTTTGTATTAATTTAGGAGAATTGCGATTACTTAACTCGTTTATATCATCTTTTAGAGATTCTATTAATTTGTTTGCAACTGAGGATGAACGTTTGGTATTTTTAGAATATTCTTTTTCACTCTCTTTAGATGGTGTTGCCGAATTTCTTCCTTGTGACAGAGGTGTTTTAGTTTTTTTTCTTTCATTAGCAATTGCAACTAATTCCTTATTGTCTTCAACTTTGCTTAAATATTCATTATCCGATAAGTCGCCACCGTCTGCTATAGTTTCCGTTCCTTGCTTACCATCTTTTGCCGCTGACCTATTCGAACGTCGTTTTACTTCAGCCAAATTATTGCACTTATCAACATCTGTTGCACCCCGATTCAATCGATCAGCAACACGACTACGCCGATTTCCATCAGCAACAACTTCAGCCCGCTTTCGAACGGCAAAAGGTATAACCGTTTCCTCACATGAAGATTCCAGGACCGGTGTTTTATTTTTTTTATCTTTAATTTCAGGTAAACTCTCACTGACAGTTTTACCAACTATAGTATTTGTATTAGTTGTAGCATTAACTGCATCTGTAGAGGATGTTGTAACTTCTGCCGTAGTTCCTTTAAGTTCTATTTTTTTATTTATATTTTTTGGTCGACCTTTTCTGCCTTTTTTCGCAGCTTTTGGTTTAGCTAAGTTTTTGCTTTCTACTGGTTCTGTTTCTTTTGGCTTGCCTTGATTTAAAAAATCCAAATGCGCGGGTAAAGCTCGTGTGCCACGAAAACACAAAAATGTTAAAAAATCTTCTGTTTTAGGCTTTTTATTTGGTAAAATATCAGTAGGTGGTTCTCGACTCTCCGATGAAGTACTTGGGCCAGTATTTGAAGATGATGAAGCAACATTTACAGAACTATATGAAGAAGTTGGCACATTTTGCCCTTGTGCGAATTTCCGTTGAGCTTGCACCTTAGTCCTGTAATATGAAGAATAAAATTGTTTAATTATTAATTAATCTAATGGATCTACTCGTTTTTATCAGTATTATATATCAATATATATTTTGATTATGAATAAAAAACTCAAGACTTTTTCACTTAATTCGTGAGATTCGGAGTTATAACTTAACAATAGAGCAAAATTTTTAGGAAATGTATTTTTAAGAATACTTCCAAGTTCACTTTTTCTGTATATGCAAAAAGTGCACACTAAAACTTAAAATAATCTCGTGGTTTTACAGGGTCCTCCTATCAAGACTATCTAAGCAAGACTGTATCTATTGCGTTCTTAGCCTTACCATCTCACCATCCCTTGTATTCGATTAAATGATTTATCTAATGCTATTTTATTTCATAATAAAATAAATGACGTATACGATCTCAAGTTACTTCAAAATGAAAGGCCAATACCTATGACCATAGTTCCATTTAAAATTATTTCAACTCCTCTTCAAGATATATTGATTACATCTCGTCTATTTTTAATTTTGCACAAAATTTTGTCCAAATAAAACTGGCTGTAGTGAAGTCTCTAATGAGAATGGTGTCTTTTTCAAGTTTTTATATATACTAAAATATTCAAATCTATATAGCTGTCCAAATAAAATGCAGTATTATTCAAATAGAAGGTATAGCTGTGAAGAAGGCTATAACTTGTTGTGAAGTGGACTATATTTTTACATATAAGCTTTTATTTTACTTTCTTTAACTATGGTCCACATTACATTTGAAATATTATTATAATATTGTATGTAACTTATTTTTAACCAAGATTACGGCGTATTTTTTTCTCTAGGAAAGCGATAACAGTGATATGACAAATAATTGCAAGTCAGAAAAGCTGTTAGAGATGATTCCTTATGATACATTCGTATTCATGATGCTGTTTTCCCACATCTGAAACACATAGACCCACAAATAACCATCATACATCCTAAATGATGGATAAATCATATGTTTAAACTCTTTATATATAGAACAGTTTAGTATAATATGGAATGGATTAACAAAATACAGGTATCTGGAAGCACAACCAAATCAAATAGAAAGAAATCCAACAATTTATTCAGAGGATACTAGCATCTGGAAACTGGACATACTCAAATAGAAAGAAATCCAACAATCTTATTTAGAGGATATAACTATCAATCTTATGCCCAACGCACAATTAATTCACAGCCGCTCGTTAAAGTAGCTGATTTAGCTGAAATGCACTAGCCAGTACTTAAGGAAGACTTAGGGAAGACCTCAACTTTACTTTTTCACATTTCCAAAAATTTAGCAAACATATAACTCGATCTGTGAATCATTGTTCTTCGTTTAGTACATTCAATAAAATATGTGCTCTTTACGTAAACTAAGATTTTTATTCAAAATGACCAACAAATTTAATTTTATTTCATAATTATATGTAAAAAAAGTCACAAGTTATATGGCAAAATCGAAGAACCATAATGACCACATTTGATCAGCGAAAAACATTTGAAAACAATCAATATCGGTTTTTATTTTAATTAATTTAATAAACCAAACAAGTTAAAGGAAACTTAATCATTTTCCAATACAAAATGTATACAAATGTTCAAACATATTTAAAATGCATTCAAATGCCCATAGTATCCCACCCACACAAAAAAAAAATATTAACTGCATAAACAACAACCACTGCACACATCCCATTTCGGTGCATATTCAAACTAATTTAAAATAAATATCTATGGCAAGTAAATATCTCTCATATATATCATTTTTGCTTACCTTTTCGGCATTTCTGGTGAAGACTCAATAGCCGAAGTGGGTGGTGGCGGTGGGGACTCCTTGCGTTTTCTTTTGGGGTTTGAGACCACCATTTTCTGTCAAAATGTTATTTACTATAATTTTTTAGGATTTTCAATACTAATTTTAATATCTGTTTCAGTATTTATGTTGTAATTTATAAAAACAACGTAAAATCTTTATGAAATTATATTGTTGTGCTAAATCACGAAACTAATAATTCATATTACGCACAACACCACCAATTTTTTTCTTGATTTTTATTTGCAAAAAAAAATTCTTCGTCACACAATATGAAATTCTCGTCATATTTTTGCCGTGTAATTTTTTAATTTTATATTCAAATAATATAAAATATTTTTATTTTTATCACACTAATTATTTTACATAGTTTTAAACACATTCAAATAATTTTAAAGTTATTTATTTATGTTAAAAGATTTTTTCACGAAGACACATCACAATTCTTATTTTCTTCGCCGCTTAACACATTTACAGCGTCACTCAAACTGTTTGCATTGTGTCATGGCGGATTTAAAGAGTTACCAGAAGAATCTATGCTTTGATTTTTCTGATTAGATCATCGCCTGAGCAATAAATTTTTTTATAATTATAGATGTATGCGAGTTAGGCTAAGTTGATGCTAAACCAAATGGGAGATTTTTGGAATTTTTTTGCACTGCACACATTTAACCATTTATCAACACGTATCGACACATCACTACATTATCGGCACAACTAAGAATTTCCTTCATTTACAGCGCAACATAGCTTAACTCGCACATGACCTATATTAATATTCGAAATAACTAATAAGGCCGTGTGCGAATTCGAGTAAATTGAGGTAAATTAAATTAAAATTTCCTAGTGATTTTTTGCACTACACTTATGTAAATATTTATTTATTGCTCTAATTTATTATTTTTGGTTAAAAGTTTTCAAATTTATTTATTTGTTTAGTAAATATCTTATAAAATTTTCACAATGGTAACACCTAATTTACCTAATTTTTATGGTAATTCTGGTAAATTTACTCGAAATTCTGGTAAATACCAAAATTCGCTGTCATACCGACATAGTTTACTATTTTCCTCAATTTACCATCAATTTACTGGAATCCGCACACGGCCTAAACAGACAAACAAATTTTATCGACTGCAATAAATAATTATTGTCTTAATCCATATGAAATATTCTTGCGTTTTCAGTGTTTTTAATATATTTTATTTTCACAATTTATAAATTTGTGAAACTTTATTTATTAAATATTTCCAATAAAAGTTCATAATAGTGCGCTTACGGCTTTAGTAACACTTTTTCTTTAGTGGCCAAAGTGTTTAGCAATTTCAGAATTAGATGCTTAGACAGAGAAAATAGTATTGTTGTTATACGTACAATTTAGCAACTTTGAGCGAGCGACTTATTGTTTTTTGCCACACTTATCTAGGTGCATATTAGAAAAAAGCATTTATTGTAATAAAAATATTACAATATATATATATATATTTTATTATTAATAAATATTCTGCTATGCAGTTGAGATTAAATCGATCTTTATTGTATTTAAAAAGCTAGTTTGACTTTTGAAATAATTCAAAAGTGTGGCATCACTTAATTAGTGAGAGTGACATTAAAATTAAATCTCAATTAATTTGTTGGAAGTCCAGCGTTGTGTGATTTGCAAATTTGTTTTAGTCAACGGTGAATGAATAAGTAATTTTCTTGAAGAATTAAGCTACATAACCAATAAAATGTCAGAAGGAAATTGGTGTCTAATTGAAAGTGATCCAGGTGTCTTCACCGAATTAATACATGAGTTTGGTATGTACTCTGCTTTATCACAACCGGTTCAAAATTGATGTAATATATTTGTTTTTTTGGATTTATAGGGTGTGAAGGTGTACAAGTAGAGGAAATATGGAGTTTAGATAGTGAATCTTTTAAAAACTTGGAACCCATACATGGTTTAATATTTCTTTTTAAATGGGTCGAGGATAACGAGCCCGCAGGCAGTGTAGTACAAGACAATCGTTTGGAAAAGATTTTTTTCGCTAAACAAGTAATTAACAATGCCTGCGCAACTCAAGCTATACTAAGTGTGTTATTAAATTGTGAACATAATGATATCAAACATGGCAACATCCTTAATAATTTTAAAGAGTTCTGTCAATCGTTTGATCCGTACACCAAAGGTTTAACATTGAGCAATTCGTCTGAGATACGTACTGTACACAATTCGTTTGCAAGACAAACCCTATTTGAATTAGACTCTAAAAACCAAAACAAAGATGAAGATGTTTACCACTTTATTGGTTACGTGCCAATTGATGGAAGACTTTATGAGCTAGATGGTCTGAAAGAAGGGCCAGTAGATCTTGGTGCTATTGCGACGGGACAAAATTGGATTGACGTGGTTCGTCCAATAATTGAAAAACGCATGCAGAAGTACCAAGAAGGCGAAATTCATTTTAATTTAATGGCCATCATTTCAGACCGTCAACAAATATATACTCAACAAATAGACAACCTTGTAAATCAAACCGAAGATGCAATGGATGTAGATGATGATAGAGAAACTGAAATTGCACGTCTACGTTCGCTATTTGAATATGAAGTTGAAAAACGAAAACGTTATAAAGTAAGATCTACAGCATATAGAATTATTATTATGAACTTAATGTTTCTGTTTGAATTATATCATTTAAGGTTGAAAACATACGCCGAAAGCATAACTATTTACCATTTATAGTAGAATTGCTAAAAATGTTGGGCGAGCAAGGACAACTAATGCCAATTTATGAAAAGGCTAAACAACGTGCTATGGAACGTGAAACAGCTTCAACTAAAAATAATTCCTAAAAATAAAAAATTTATTTGTTTTAAAAATTTACAATTATAACTTAATACAAATTTCACAATTCTACATTCTTGCTTGCTGTTGATTTAAAATCATTAGGATCCAAAATTCATATTAACTGCCATTGTTAAGAAATCAAAACAAAATATATATAAGAAATCGTTACCATTTTCATTCTTAAATATCTTGGTTTGTTTTGTCAAAATAAAGTAAAAATAAATTATTATCTTTAATATATAATATTTACTAATATATTTCGTCATAAGCGTTAGATCCGACACAGATGAATGTTTATATCGTATTTTTCTAATTTTAGACACTAAAATTACTTCGATTGCAACTTTTAAATCACTATAATCACTTTTACTTATGATTGAAACGTTTGTACTGGCAAAATTTCTAAATTCTATACAGGAGCATGGTGTTCATGAATATTGAATATTACTTAAATATATAAGGCTTTAATTCTATTAATATATGCAAAATGTGTGTCTTCGATTATGAAAAAAATGTATTTTTTTTAACGTTTTAAAACAAATTCATTAGGCAATGTAATTTGCAATTTGTACACTAATCTTATTACAAAATTTATTTTAAAAAACTTTGGACAAAATGAAAGCAAGAAAAGTTTGCTAAATGTGGTCACGATCACAGTTTGCTAAAGTGTAATTACAACCAGCTTGCTAAGCGTAATCGCAATCAGAATTCAACCCCAACAATCGCTGTAAAGTCGAGGCTGTAGTCACAGCGAATAAATTTATAAAAACTGAGTTAGATGAGTTAGAAATTTTTTAAGGTTATTTGTTTAACTTTTGGTTTCTCGGTTTGGTTTTCTACAAGACTTATTTAGCTCTTCCTATTCTATGTTCATATCCAATGGTAGCACTTATAACGAAAATGCTGAATTTTCATGTACATTGTCAATCTACTAATGAATAGCGTAAACTTGGCTAGAAGTTTTTTTATTTCCTTATTCGGATTTCATTGATGTTGTAACTTATTCAATTCATCAATAAAAAATTTAAGACTTAAACTCCTCGAATATGGATAAAAAGTCAATTTGAAATTGTTAAGTAAAATAAGCCAAAAATATATAATTGAAAAAATTAATACAGTGTGCACTTCTGAACAAGGTACGTGAGATATGCAGAATTAATTTGTGCTAGATTATCAAAAAAACAACTATAAAAGTATGTTTATATTATGTATATCATTTTCTTTATATTTTTATTGATATATTTTATATATAATATACATAGTTTATATATATATATATATGTGGTATAATATATATAGATTTTATCTTAATTACATTTTTTTTATTATTAAATGTATATAATATAATTTGCAGTATTGTGTATATAGGAATTTTATGTTAATCATTGATTTTGTTTGGTTGCCAAGTTTAAATCATCGAAATTTTCAATATATCTGGTTTTTATTACTTTCTCTATGTATATTTAATTACTTGGTATTACAAATGGAACAAGGAGTTTTGATTATTATTAGTTGTTGGTGTTTCAGTTAATTTACGTAATGCATATGTTATATTTATATGACAAATTTTTTAATTTGTTTAAATTTATTTTGCTTATCATGAACAATTTACCTGTTCTAATATTTTTAAATTAGGTTTTAACATATTTTCGTAGTTATTTTATTTTATAATTTTTAATAATAATACATTAATTTAAATATATTAACTTCATACACATTAATTATATGAAACTAATTCGTTTGGATTTAATTCAAATTAACACTATTAAATTTTTTGAAATTAAAATACCGTAGATTCTAACGAAAAAGTACTCAAGGAATTCTTAGTTTATGATGATAAAATATCATAGAATATAATATTTTAAAATAGATTTTTTAGATGTAATAATAATATGAATGTAATGAATTTATTGTAATATGAGTCACTTTTATGTTTCCAAAAACAAAATAATCAAATTTTATATTGTTTGATGTCTTCAATCAATAAAAACGGGATCAATAAAAGAGGTCCACAAGACTCGAAAGTGGAAATATAAATATGGAAATACAATGACAAACGTCTGAACGCCCATTTTCAATTCTTCATCCGTAAAATTGTAAAACTGAACTGTGAAAATAGCAGATAATTTTGTTTTATCAAACAAATAAGGGTGGAGACAATAAAATTAAAGTTAACAGTTGTTGTATCATTTAATTTTTTTTATTTCAAATTTGCAATATTTTTTAATAATAAGAACTAACTACTGCTTTACCACAAACTGAAAAAATTATCAGATCCGATGCCTCGGGAATTCGATGACAAATATACATAAAATAAAATTTCATCACTTCACCATGTTACGCAGGTAATCAAATGATCATCGATCATCATATTTACTCTTGCTTTTAATGTAAGTTATTATAAAGAGAATTGAAAGCAACAACAATTTGTCGACCTGCGTAATACGGCCTTTATCAAATTTGTATGAAACGTAGCTAATGAGGTTCAATAATTTTAAACATAACCTGAAACGTCAATTAAATGCACAAAACACAATCAGAGCGAGATTTTGTTTCTTATTATAAAAGCGCTGCTAGTATGGGAGGGGGTTTTGTTGTTAACATCGTTTGTTATTTGAAAAAAATGATACAAATTGTATATGATATATCACAACAAATTGCGTTGAAGACTTTTAAATCTGATTCATTTAAAAGAAGAAAACGGAATAGCAATATGAAATGAAGGACTGGGCATTATCCTAAAAATGTTATGATTATTTTGATTATTAAGTTATTTTAACCAGGAAAATAAAATTTTATGTATTTACGTAAATAATTAAAAAGATGCTACAGCAGTTTTTTATAATTTAAAAAATATTAACATTTAAAAATTCGAAAAAACATACATAAAAATTTTTCTTATAAGGAATTGCCTTTAAAATATAAAAGTAGGAAATTCGAGGTCCTGAGCTTCATAAATAAATTAAGAATATAAGTAAAATGACAATTACATAACATAATAATAAAAGTATTATTTTTTTAACAAACACTTAAACAAAACAAATTGTATTTACAATGATCTTTTTTATAATATATTATAATCAAGTTTTTTTTTATATATATTATAAGTATTTAATATTTTCTTGAATTATTTTTTCATTTAATTTTTTAAATTTACTATTTCTAATATTTTTATATTTAGAATATACTTATTTTCTTTCAATAATCTCTTTGTTTTTATGGTTTCCTTTGTATGCTTAAAAAATATGCATTTAAATATTTTTTGTATTTGTTTCCTTTTAAATTAATATTATTTATTTGATAATTTTGTTTTTTAAATTTAGCACTTATTGTTAGCATATAATGTTTTGCTTGATTTTTCGAAGACACAACAGTTTCTGGTCCAATTCCAGATAATTTTCTCTTACATTAAATTTTTCTTTCACCAGATAACATAATCCAAAACCTATGGAAACAAAATAATTAACAAAACTAGAATACCAGGCAGTTATGCACTGATTTCCGCTATCAGTTAGAGTTCTCTTTTTTAAAGAACGCTATTGTTAAGTGGAGAACATTTGATGTCCTTGCCTTGCAGCTTCCGTGCTCTCTTTATGAACTGAAATATAAAAATCAGAAGTAAATTTTGGAAGTAATAACTTTTGTAAAATATAAATACATAACATAAAGTATAAAATATTTTTGATGAGCTTATTTGTATATATTTTAATATTTCAATAAAATACAATTTAAGAAATAAAGTGCTAGCTAATTGCACTAAAATCACTATTTCGTTACTATATTGTGAGAGGAACACGTTTTTACCAAATTGTATTGAGGAAGGTAAATTTTATAGAACATTATGTTGGAAAAAATAAGGTTTTACCTGTAGCATGCATGCGATTATAAATATTCTTCTTTTTTTTCTTCAAAATAACGTCCAAATTATAACCATCCACAGTAATTCTGTTAGAAGTAAAATTTTCATTAAAGCAAAAATCTTGTGAAATTTGAGTTTAGAATTTACTTTTCAATGCGATTTAACCCAAGCACATCCTTGAAGGTCAAGTAAATTTTGTTTAATGTTAAATTGGGTAATCCCTGTCCCAAGTACCGTACAAATTTAAGTTGTTCACATTTGGGAAAGCCACTCTCATGGAAGTCCAAAAAGGGTCTATGATCGGATATCTTATATTCCTGTGTGAATAAATTTTAAAAAGTATATTAAAAAAATTCTGTAATGAACTACTAACACTGAATCTTTCAAGCTATTTATCGTTGATTTTTAAATTCTGTTACACCTATTCTTGATTTTAACTATAACTACAATATCGAACTAATGCAGTTATTTAACAAAGAGGCTATCATCTCTTTTGTAAAAGATAAACGTATGAAATAGTTTTGACATGTCGTATAATATGTATGAACAACAATATTCCGTGATATCATAGTGAGTCATTATTGGAGTTTGAGTGGGCTTTTGTGTACAAGGCCACAACTCCAACCTTACTTAACTATCTAATATAAAATGTACATAATGTAATAATAACATTAATTCCGGTCAGCATTTCATTTAAATTATAAGATTATGTTATTACTATTAAAAAATCAGTGTTAGCAGTTTTAAAATGATATAAACCGATATTCTAATAGGATATATAATTTTAATAACAATAAATATATTTTATTTTTTTTGCGAATTCGCTCACATTGCAGAATTTGATGAAGTTCTCGATGATTATGTACTTTTCATAATACGTTACGGTTTGATTGTTTTGAATACCGAACTGTTTAAAGAGCTCCTGCTTTTTAGGCGGTAGTCGTGTTATATGTGTACACACCCCATCCTCAACCCTATGTGTTTCATGCACATCAAAGTTTTCATAAATCACCAAATTATCCAAAGGTCTTGGCATAATAACACATTTTGGCAGCTGATCTATATTGGCTAGACTAGTATTACTCATTGATGCAAAATCTAAGCCATCATTTGATTGCTGATGTACCATATTTTTCAAATCTGCAAAATTATAAAGATATGATGTGCTAATAAAATTTTCTAAAATCAGTTAAGAATCAAAAGTTTTAAGCAATAAAATATTAAATTATTTATTAAATAAATAAATTATATGGTTGCATGTAAGTTTAAAATAAAGAATCAAAAATCTAATTAGAACAGTTATAATCTAATTTTTAATTTTTTTTATATAAAAATCTAAAATATTAGCAAAAGTTTGAACGTTTATGTGCATTGTCATGTTTTAAATGTCCCACTTTCTAGTAATTTAGTATCATACATGGTGAGAAATTGATTTACTTGCACTTTATTATTAATTCATTTTTTTTAGAATATTATTAGGTTGTCGATATCAGTTTCTGATAGCTTTTCGAGCTTTTCTCGAAGTTGAAAATTTAATATTCTTTCTCCTTCTCTTAGCATGGACCGAAAATATCCTTGTTTACAGCTTCTAGTCTCTGTGACTAACTGCTTATTAGGAATTGCCTGGTAACAACAGCTAATACAATAATTTCAAGTCTTACCTAGGTTAATTAGTGCAATCATTGGTATTATATGTTAATTATCATAACATACGAATGTATAATATTTTGTCATTAGCTTGTCGTTGATATAAGCAAAGAATCAAATTTTAGTAAAAGGGAAACCCCACCGAAATAACACCTAGATTGCCACACAAATATTTTGTGAAGCAATTAAGGCCTCTATTAAATAAAGTACAAAAAATAATATATATATTTAATATATGGTATTTCATTTTTTAACATATTCATTCGATTTTACGAATTTTCCCAAGTAAAGACTATTCGTTGTCTTCGTAAGACAACATAAACAGTAAAGATGGTTGATATTTCGACTTGTATGACAGTTTAACCCTCTAATGCCCAGCACCGCCTCAAGGCGGGCTTTATAAAAACGGCTATCAAATGCTTATTTGGTTATATTTTTAATATTTTTTTGATATCAGGAGTTAGATAAAGTGTTATATTTTATTAAAGTTTATAACGTGTTTAAGTATTCTGTTCCAATTTATGTTTATAACTGTGTGAATTGAAAATTCACTTCATTTAGAGCAAAATAATTATTTTTGAAGAAACATGATTTTTTTATATAAAAAACTTACAATTTAAAATAGTTTGATTAAAAAAAAAAATACAGGTAAGTAGATGGAAGTATTTTCTTTCAACTAGAAAGAATATTGTTTTGATTCCGTATTTATAATGTGCTTAAATTCGTATATTCCTTAAACCGTCTAAAGGCGGGCCTGGGCATTAACACGAGAAATAAATTGCCCTGCCATAATACATGAGTACAACAAACACATGGGAGAAGTAGATTTGATGGATGGTTTGATTAGTCGTTACCGTATTCGTATGAAAACGAGAAAGTGGTCTAACAGCATTTTTTTTCATCTATTAGATATGACGATGGTAAATGCATATATTCTTTATCATCGTTTGCATGAAAATTCAAAGTACCAACTTTCTGATTTTCGTACTGTAATTGCAGAAACCCTCTGTAACGTTGGTCCATCTGATACTCAAAAACGTAATCGACCACCTTTGAATACACTACGACCTAAACCAAAGAGGGCATATATTCCCCCAGCCAATGTTCGTTACGATGAAACAGGTCATTGGTCTGAATTTCTTGATAGATCGGGCGAAAAAACTTGTAAAATGGCTGGTTGCAACTCACAAAGGCAAGATTTTTGCACAAAATGCAAATTAAATTTGTGTGATTCCACAACAAAGAAATGTTTTTATAATTTTCATAAGTTTTAATTTTTATTATTATTATATTATTTATTATTATTATTATTATTATTTTATCATTACTAATAAAGACTGCAACCAAAAAACAGAAATTTCCATTTGTTTTACTCACAAAAGTCAGCATCCTTTATTTGTATTTTTATACGCCTAAATGCCCAGGACCGCCTTGAGGCGGGCTTGACTTTTTTACGATTTACAAGACAACGAGACATCAGAATGAAAAAAGGACTTTGGATTCGGCTTTTTTGACCTCAAATTAATCTAACCTGATTTTTTCAACTCAAATAAAAAATGTGGCATTAGAGGGTTAAATAAAGTTTTCGAATTTAAAAGATCGCTCAATTTTTGCTCGTAAATGACAAACAAAATATGTTGCATAATTATTATTCAAATTTAATAAATAATTATTTACAGCTAAATAAAAAAATACAATTATCCGATTTTAAAGCGGCTTTCGTTGATTATATCGCAGATGAGCGGCTTGAAAACGCAGTACCGTGAGTTTAAAAAATTTCTTTTATATGTTTGAAATGTTTACACGGAATAAAAGAAAAATTTCACATTATAGGCAGATGTAATAGTAATACCAATTTGTTACCACAAACTCGGACATTAGACTTAAGAAGACAATAAAAAAATTAAATATTTAATATAAATATATAAATTTTGAGGTTCCAGGTTTTTTAGTATTTAGGCGCCCGAAATTAAGTACTTAGTGTGTGCCAAACCTAGTATTTGGATAGAATGTGTTCAATGTCTCTTTTTAAGCAGTAAAAAGAAAATTATAATTTTTAATGTCGAGCCTTAAAACTGTCACTGTAAGAACTGTAAGAATCAAAATGGATCAAAATAAATGTACACATTTTATTTTTTTTTAAATCACTTATTTTTCTATATTTCGAAACAAGTATAATTTTTGTTATTAAATAAAAGTAATAATAATATATACGTATATATACATAAATAAAAAACATTTAGGTATGCACATATATACTTACATATTTATAAATTGAAACTCATAAATGTGATATTAAAATAGTTAAAATTAAAATAATAGTAAATTTTATAATCTCATATTTAAGGAATAAAAGTATTTTACTCATCAAGTGTTATCAAAAATGGTTAAATAATTATTGAAAAATAAGTCACAAATTCAAATATTTAACAATTAAAATTAAAATAAAATATAATTATGAAAGGCATTTTAAATTTTACTACGAACAAATATATAATAAAATGAAGCAATTAAATAAATAAAATACAAAATAGCACGCAATAAAATAATACAGATTTTAATTAATCTATATAAATAATTAAAAAATAAATCAAAATAAATGATTTTGTATAATAATAACTTATATATAAATGTAGTTGAGTATACGAGTCAGTAGTAGTAAATCTATCCCAGTCAATATTTAAATTGTTGGACCCATTATCATTGTTGGAGTGTGTTGTGGATGTAATGATATTTGTGTTGGTATTTGTGGTGGTAATTGTGGTGGTATTTGTGGTGGTAATTGTGGTGGTATTTGAGGTGGTAGTTGTGGTGGTAGCTGTGCTATTTGTGGTAGTTGCGGTACATGGGATTGTTGTACCTGGGACCCCTGGGGTATATGCGGAACTTGAGGTACTTGTACCTGAGATACCTTTGGTACTTTAGGAGTTTGTGATACTTGTGATGGTTGTGATTGGGCACTTTGAGCTTGTTTGTTTGGGGTACCACCTATAAGTTGCGCAAATGATAAAAAATAAATTGTTTTTTTAAATAAAACTTTTAAATTATAATCAAAAACAATCGAAAGTAATTAAATAGCAATTATAATGTATATAAAAAAATCATTTAAAATGATAAAAGCAAATATGTAAAAGTTATTTATATATGTACAATATTCATGCTTACTTATTGTTACATTTACAACTTACCGGCTGTAGTATTTGCTAGGAAGCGCTTCGTTTTGTCAAGTATATAAGGCAAATTATAGCCATCTTTCGTATAACTGAAATGTATATAAAATAAATTATAATGAAATATATATGAATTCTGTGTAAAAAGTATCCAGAAATATAAAAGATAAAATCATTTAATTATTCAAGGTATCCATACAACTATTTTAAGCCGATTGGTAGTAAGTGAAAAAACTTTTTTAAGTAATAGTTGTAGCTTTATAATCATAAATATGTGGCACGGGATCATGTCAGTTGAGTACTCTACATGATCGATAATTGCACAACTGAAGTAAACATACTATGTACCTCCATAACGGATGGTCATATAGTATTCCCGTTTTTTAAATTATAAATTCTAGATACTTTCTAAACATAACGTATATTTATTAAAGTACTTTTTTACACAAATTAAATACTTACATTTCTGTACGTTTTGTGCAAAATAAATTTTTAAAATTACTGTAAATGCAAAATAGTGTAAATGTTGGTAAGCCTTGTCCTAGGTAGCGAGCGAATTTTATTTGTTCCGGTTTGTTTAGGCCACTTTGATTAAGAGAAAGAAATGGTCGATGATCCTTGATGTCATACTCCTAAAATAAGATATTTTAATTAGCAAAATATTTATCAGATATATGGTCATATATGTATATATAATTTTAAACCTTAAACAATTCAAAATATGATTGGTTATTGGTTTACTTTATAAACGCCGTTACATCATAATTGAACAAATATTAGAATTTATACTATCATGTAAAAAACTTGAGTGCACCTGAAATAATCTACAATCTACAAGTTAGAACTTTCGTTATGTTCTCAGCTATTCAAGAAATTCGATTGTTTCATAAAATTTATATATAATTTTATCACAAATTATATAGAGTGATAGCATGATCCAATTTAAGTCAAATATACGCCGTTTTGTTCTATGACTTGTAATTTTATTATGCTTTTCTCATAAAAGTCCTAAAAGTCACCAGAGAAATCGTTCGCCATGGAGAGGGACAGATGTTAATCTTTTGATGTCAGATCTGAACTATAAGGTTGATGCGTAATGTTTGGACTGGCGTTATCCTGATGGAACACAATTCCTCTCCTATTGCCCAAAGATAGCCATCTCTTCTTCCTTCAGATGCTCCCGTTTATAACAGAACAGTTCCAAGTTAGGAATTTTGCACCAAACACACAACAAAACCTTCCTGGCTGTCAATCCTGGCTTAAACACCATTTAATGTCATCTTTGAAATCGAAATTATCGGAATGGCATGGACAAAGCCAAAATTGGGCATGATTGGCTGTTATAGTATCAGGACCATAAACAGTATTCACATTTTCAACTCTCTGGCTTACATTTTCGCCTTAATCAAAGAAAAACTGTAAAATATGGCGTATTTTCTCTTTGCTAGTGTACACCTTTGATGTGCACCCAAACAAAACTGAGTCAACTAATTGCCAAACTATCAAAAGTTTTTTTAGTACGAAATCTCATCTTTCTAACGCCATCCAGCGTAATCCGATCGGACTTACACAACACAGGATACAGACAACTAAAGCCATCTATTGGGAAAATAATAGATTTCTTTTACTACACTTAATGTAAACAATCCATAAACTATATTTGGTATAATCCATTTTATTCAGCACAGCCACTGAACAACAATAAACTACATGAAACCGGTTTCATTAATTTTTTTGTCACTATAACTTTTATCCATTACGTATGAGTAAACATATGATTTCAGTATCATTCTATCATTCTTATTACATTGATTGCAATATGTATAATTTTATGACTATGATTTTAAACATTAAGTAGTGGACAGTTAAAAAGAATGTGAGCGACAGTCTGCGCTGCGAGCCATTGACACATTGAAGCGCTTTTTCAGTTTCCGTGACAAGCTTAGATTGATTGAATCGGCTTTAAGTAGCAATATTGAACTAAATCTTACATTGTTAGAACAACTAACATACCACTCTTTATCAATTTGGAATCTCGATTCGTATAGATCTTTAGCTAGAGACAAGAGATCATCAAAATTTTACCCTTAAATATGGTTTGTTGACTAAGGCAGTACTTAGCAAGATATTTGTATTGTCATTCTTGGATGGATGGCTATATTTTTCTAAGTTCCAGAAGTGCCATATAAAATAACATTCACAGCCACTATAGGAGGTTAGCCTTCATAGGCTGAAAGAATGTTCTCTGTATTGGGTTTTACTACAACACAATATTTTCTTAGCATACACTCCTCGAATTGAGATGGAAGTATTATTCTTTACTGTTCGAATGTTGCACGAATTCTCATGTGACTCTGTTTTCTATTAATGCCACGCTTATTTTCAGTACTCTTGAATCGCATCACATGTTCAAATGGACTGTGCAATACATGTCAGTGATATCTAAATTTGTAGTCTTTGGATTAAGCGAATTCAATCAAGATCTCAATCTCCATTTTAAATCACTTCTGAAAATTTTGATACAGACAACAGACAGAGGTAAATAGAGAACGAAATAAAGTGTAAAATACAAAGAGAAAGAAAGAGAGAGAGAGAGAGAGAGAGAGAGAGAGAGAGAGAGAGAGAGAGAGAGAGAGAGAGAGAGAAAGAAATCTGACCTAAAACTGTAATTGGAATAATCTTGTAAAGCTGTAAATAAAAAGCAAATAAATTGTTGTTTTTAAATCTGTAAAAACCGACAAGTATTATGATTAGCTATATCATTTAGTTTTTGATTGTAATTAAAAAAACTACACTAGATAGACAAAAAAAAAATGGAGAAGCTGTTAAGTGGAGTTAAGCAAGAAAATGTTTGGGAAACTCTGTTATAAATTTTCAATATTTATACCAAATATAATAGAAAATTAAAGTTTACTTTTTCCCGACATAATCTTCTACAACTATTTTGTATTACACGACTTATATATATTGTATATGAATATAAACATATGTATATATATATTTATGGCATATTATTACATTTACATATATAAATTAAATACTTTGAATATAGGTTTGTATATAGGTACAAACAATTTTCATTAAACTCCATATAACTTCATTTCAACTTTTTTTCCATAAAGTTGCAACTTCTACTTTAATTTATTATTTTCATGTGTTGAGATATTGCCCGCTCTCCTGCTGCCTCAATGATTAAAAACTATGCTTTTTTCATTGATATCTTTTGCAAGTCAGCATAGAATGTGACCAAGCCAATTATATTAACGGGTCAATAATTTTTCTAAACCTTAACTCATTATTAGGAATTGTGTTTGCGGAATACAATTAAAACTATAATGCGATGAAAATATTTAATGTTATAGAAAGTTTTATTCCAGCTCTTACTGTCATATGAAAAAAGGATTTTAATATTTTTGTTAAACGGTATTATTTTCTTGTGGAGCGCCATCTACATAACGTTGAGGGTTTCAAAAGTTAAGATAGCTTTTATTAGTCTGTTTTGAACGATACTTGACCATCAACGCTAGTTGAAATGAAATTAGTTAAGTAACTAAAACTTCACACATTTAACTAAAACTTCACACATCCTCCACGTCTGAGCCTTTTATTTTTAAATTTTATGAGTTTCAATTATTTATTTGAATCGATTTTGTTTTAACATAGTTTATTACCAGTACGGTGGTCTTGGCTTTTGTTCTAAATTCCTAAATCTGAGCAAAGCTGTATCTACTCTCAAAGGGAGAAGATAAATATCATATATGTAATGTAATTACGAGTAATATCAAAACTGATGCAGTATTTTCAATATTCTTCCCGTTATTTACGAAATCCATTTTAAACCATTATTTTTATTTTATATAATAATAATATTATTATATTTCATTATATATTATATTTCATACATATGGAAAATTCTAATATTATGTAAATCAATAGTGAACTGCATACACACCTAAGTATAGTTTAGAAATCTGATTTATTTCTTGAAATTATAGCTTAAAGGTCTTAATAACGATGAGCACAATCAAAGAACTAATTAGACCGAACACAGCACCACCTAAGGAACACACAAAACAAGGACGAGAGTGTAAACTTATCTTCATCAATATCAACATCATAATTATCATCATTAATATTCACTATCGTAATTATAATATTCGTTATACATGAAGGAAATGTGTATATTTTAGTTTTGATTATGTTAAAAATCAATAGAGCAAAGGAATGAATGACAAGCGAGTGGATGTGTGCACATGTACGAATATTCCTGTCGGAACTTCTTGCTAGGCCGTACAATTCTACAAACTAACCACCTTTAAATTGATATGCGTATATATATAAATATAAATACATATATAGATATAGATATACATATATATATATATGTATGAGATGTGCGTGTTTATGTGTACATATCTGTGGACAAAATATTTATGTTACCATTTTGATACACACAATCTAGTGCATGAGAACTTTGGAAACAAACCGGAATCACCAACACCATCCATTCATGCCCATCACCACCAATTTAGCAACTCACACTTGCCGCTTTCTCGTATTGCCGTTTGCCGTACGGTTTTGTGTACGAATAATGGGCGGACGGACGGCAAACGCAAGTCAAGTCAAGTGTTGATTGTGAATTTGTTCCTTAAATTTTTGGGTGTTGATAATGACTCGATGTGGTGTGCAAGTCTATTGGCATATATGAAGAGTGTGTTTTGGGCATAGGGGTTTGTTCGCTTCACTGTGTTTGTGATGTATGTTGGTAGGTGTTAAACAGCAGAAATTGGAAGTTCATGAAGAAAAAGGTATAAAAACAGAGAGCAAAAATGGTTAATAACCGAAATTTTTGTTGTCATCATTAAGTAGTGTTTGCGTAGTTAAACTATAGTTCTCATTTTTATAATCTCTATTGCTTCAGATATCAATACCGTATTCCTTTAAGATCTCAAATTAAATATAAGCTGAAGTAAAATTTTGTTAAGAATTATGAAATAAGTTATTTTAAAGTGTTTACAACCCTTTTCATATTCATAACTAGATCGTAGACCAAGGAAAGAAGGGTAGACGACGTTGAGAAAATCTGCATTCTATGTCATTAATTATGAATGCTTTTAATGAACATAAGACATATATACATGCAAATATAAATATACATACATGTTTTTATACATATATATTAAACATTGAATAGTCATGACTTTACGTATGCATAAAGATGCTAGATATGTAAGTTTATATATACATACATACTAAAATGGAATATTCAGTGATACTGAAAATGAAGATGCTGTCAGATTATTTACAAAATTTCGAAATCCTGTTATCAAATCAAAACAGGATTCAGTTTCAAAACTGAAGAAGTTAAAGGGTTGAAAATTGTGTAACTTTATACTCCTAACAAAATCGATAAATTAATTCAAATATTATATATATGGTATGTATATTACCATAATTAAGGAAGTGCAACTATATGCGTATTATCAAAATTTTGCCAAAAAGTTGAATATCATCAAACAAAAGGTATGTGAAGAAGCAAAAAAAAATTGCTTTAATGAAGCTTAAATAACCTCTACACAGAGCTGTTGGGCATTTACTAAGAAAAGCTTGCAGATATAAACCGTAAGTTTGTATATTTGTTGATTTTCTAAAAAACATATATCTAAATGGTAAGTTTTTATGGCAGCTGTACTGATTTTTCAACCGATCGAAACAAAGTAAACGAATGGCATTAAAGATACTGAATATATTTCACATTCATCACAATATATTTTTACTCAATACTTTTATAGATAATAAAGAAAAATTTTATCTTAATATATCTATATCCTTTCGAAATGACATTCTGGTAATATTAAAAATAAAAATTTTAGTAACGTCTTGTGCACGAATAGCATCCTTTTGAAGAGGCATGAGACACTCATTCAAGTAGAAGGGAACTAACCTGACAAGTCCATAAAAGGATGCCAGCTCTATCAAATCAGTTAGTCAAATGAATTTCAAAGATTTGGAATATCCTACTAACTAATGATGAATAAGAATAGCTTGCAGATATACTAATACTAAGAAAAGCTTGCAGATATAAACCGTAAGTTTGTATATTTGTTGATTTTCTAAAAAACATATATCTAAATGGTAAGTTTTTATGGCAGCTGTACTGATTTTTCAACCGATCGAAACAAAGTAAACGAATGGCATTAAAGATACTGAATATATTTCACATTCATCACAATATATTTTTACTCAATACTTTTATAGATAATAAAGAAAAATTTTATCTTAATATATCTATATCCTTTCGAAATGACATTCTGGTAATATTAAAAATAAAAATTTTAGTAACGTCTTGTGCACGAATAGCATCCTTTTGAAGAGGCATGAGACACTCATTCAAGTAGAAGGGAACTAACCTGACAAGTCCATAAAAGGATGCCAGCTCTATCAAATCAGTTAGTCAAATGAATTTCAAAGATTTGGAATATCCTACTAACTAATGATGAATAAGAATAAGTTCCTCTTTATCCGCACAGTAAAAACCCCGTCAAGTCGTTGAATGTAGAACAAATATGTAAAACAAACCTTCCTAATACGCAGTGACCTGTCAGAACCAACATCGTTTTACTAAGTTGGTTCACCTTTAGTTAAAAAATCATTTTAAACCAGGGTAGACTTGTGTTCTGATAAAAAAAAAACTTTATTTACTCAAGTTTTTCTTGTCAACCATAGGTATTTATGTTTAATTGACTAGGTGATGATAGACTGTTGCTCATGTATGTTATCTCACGAGAATAGAATGGTTACAGACTCCTCGGGGAGGTATGCAGATCTGAGGTCAATTATTGCTTAGTCTGATGAAGTGATAATCAATAATCCAGTCAAGGCGCATAGAGGGGTTTTGAAGAAACCTCGCAGTTAACAGAGAGTAAAAGTGCTCAGGTGCACTGAATCAACTAGCCTCAACATAATATAATGTAAAATATGATTATGTTGATTTATCTTGTATTTTCTTCTGTAGGATTCTTCTATAAAATTTGCTGCTTATATGATTTATATAGCGAAGCATATATATGTATATATATAAACATATAAACATAGGTGAAAAATATTTAAAAGAGAATGTCTCAAAATTAGAACAGATTTCAAATTAATAGAACAAATGTTCGTTGATAGAAACATAAGCCTTCGAAAAAAGTGGCATGTGTTCTATAATTGTATAATTTTTTCATTTAAAGCCCAATACTGTGTTCAAATCTAATAATTTTGTCTCACACTCATGCATTTTTGGTACACCACCATTTTGACTTTATATGTAAAAATTTATATTAAATTTATTTTGTTAAAAAATGTGCAATGATTCAAGTAGAGAATTTCAATTAAGTGAAATCTAATAAGAATAATAAAATTGATGTGGAGACTTGAAATTCGTTTTTTTATTCCTAATAAAAAATTGACATTTCTATTCTACACACCAATGTCTTCAAAATGTTGTAATATCAAAAATTAGATACTCATACATGTATGTAATATAACGTAATTATGTATATATATTTATGTACAGTATATTTTAATAAGAACATATTTACAAACAAACATATGTGTGTGTGTACGTACACTCGAATATATCTGCTTACTACGTAAACTGTAGCTTGCATTTAAATGAGTTTGTGTGTGTGTCAATGATTTTAAAATTATTATCAGTGTGTGAGAGCAAATTGTGCTAGCATAAATTATAAATTTGTATGTATATATTTATATGTATATATATAATGTTAGTTTAAAGTTCTAAAGGAAATATGTGTAGTGTGAACGTAGGGCAGGCATTTTCAATATAACAAGGTATGAGGTGGTCGGCAATATAATGTTTAACTTAATTTTTTGGGGGTGGTAGGAGGTAGCTAGCTGTACTCTGTAAATGTGTTATGATATTGCTGGGCTAGGAGAGCCGGTCGAAGGACATGTAAACACTGTCTAAGGACTAAAATTTGTAATGATTCTCTCACTGCACACCAACTGACGAACATAAACCAACTTTTCAAATAAGGTTACATATTATGCCATCATCAATGTTATACCCCAACCCAACATTCCCCACCCTAGCATACATAACACAACATTTGAATTGAAACAACAACAACAACAACAACAACAGCGACAATGTTGTTTTCAATGATTTTGCTGTTCATGTTTTTGCTGCTGTTGTTGTTGTTGTCGTTGTTGTTGTTGTTGGTTCTTGCTGGTGCTGTTATTACAATTTATAATGATATGTATGAGTGAGTGAAAAAGTATGAGCACAAGTGGTAGTAAGCATACACATACATATATGTGTGCGTATGTTAACATATCCTTGTACAACATTCAAATATATTTATATATGCATATATGAATATAATAAATATGTGTAAATATTTTAAATTGGAAATTGTGAAAACTACTTGCCACCCACCCACTAATAAAAGCACACATACACTGTGATATGACTGATAATAAATACATAAAAATATATAAAAATACATATAAGGATATATTTTCGTTTATAATTTTATATTATACATACTTGGCAAAATTTAATAAAGTTTTCCACAACTATCGATTTATCATACAAATTCATTTGACCGGTGAAGCGCACGCCCAACTGCTTTAGGTTCTCCTTTTTCTTTGATGGCAACTTATTCATATGCTGGAAAATGCCTTCTTCGATTTTATGAGAGGGATGTACTTCAAAGTTTTCCTTAATTGCAAAGGTAGCCAATGGTTTAGGTGCATTTGACGCTGAATTTATAATTGCAAAATCATTGCTGCCAGCAGCAGCGCCCTCTGACGAAGTGTTCGAATTGGAAGCATTCAAGTGCGAATTGGGGAAAGCTAAGTTCGATACTTCCATTTCATTTGAATTTGAACTATTCGTTACGTGATGTAAGTCAAAAATGGTGTGCTTGGAGTCATGATCGAAAACGTCGTCCATTGTGTTTGAAGAATCTAGACTGTTGGATGCACGAGAAACGGAAGACAATAATGCGGCTACTTTGCGTGATGAACGCGATTTTTGTGTGGTACTGCTATCCAGATCAATTAAGCTATTATTTAGTGCTGACTGTTGTTGATGTTGATTACTTATGGTTGGGTTTGTATTGTTTGCAGGTGTATTTGTGGAATTTGTATCATTTGAGGATTCGCTGTAGTCATTGGAGTGACGTAAATACTTAAGGAATTCAAAGGAACCATCAAAATGTTGTGCGCCATTACTTGCCGTTTGATGAGGATGTTGAGGATGTTGAGGATTTGAAGTGATTGCATGATTGTTGTGTTGTTGTTGTTGCATACCAGCTGGACTGTGATTTGAATTGGCCATGTTGGCCCAGCGTTGAGCTGGATTAAAACCTTGAGGTATTGCCTGATTTGTAGTATTAGGTAGATTATGATGCGTAACGCTGCCGTTCGCAGCTATGTGTTGATTATGATGAAAGTTGGCGGTTGACGATTGTTGCGGATGCCCATGCACATAATGTTGCTGTTGGGAGGCAGGGTGGTGATGTTGTTGGTGTGCTACTTGCTGTTGCTGTTGTTGAGAATGGTGCGCCGCTGGCGTTGCTTGCGTTTGGTGTGCATAATTATTGGTTTCCATATGTGTGGCATTATTATATATATCTGTATTGTTTTGACCTCCTGCTGTGACTGCGCCTACACTATGCTCCGACACTACAACTCTGCTGTTAGTGCTGCTATTACTACTATTTACATTGTTATTGTTTACACCACTGTTTACGCCATTATTATAAAACGCAATATTATTGCCGTTTTGTTGCAGTTGTTGTTGTTGCTGCTGCTGATGTTGTTGTTGTTGATGATGGTGTTGTGAACCAATAACTTGTATATCCTCAAAATTTGAAAATTTTAACTCGCCATTGCTTAAATATTTAGCGAATTCAGAAGGGTCATTTAATGAGTTTAAAAAGAATGAACTAAAATTGCTTGAAATGCAGGACATTTTGTTTTTCTTTTTAATAAAAATGATTTAAAGTATGAATTTTTTTTCAAATAGTTCTTCGAATTTTTTAATATGAATTTGTTTACTATCTTTATTTTTTATTTAAAATTTTCTCTTTATTCCTAATAAGTTTTAAGTTATCAATAAACTTAATGGAACTAAGCGTTGCAGGGGGTTGGTTAGTTACGTGTTAATAATACTGTTAAGAATACGTTTGATTTTTAAGTTTTTAATTTCTTGATTTTTGTATCTTCTCAATTGTTTTTCTAATTACTTATTTTATTCATTTATTTATTTATTTTAAAGCTATTTGATAGTTTTCGCGTAATTTTTTCTTTTCTCTATTTTAATTCTTTATATTATTTTCATATGTATAAATAAAATGGCACATTTCTTACACTTAATTTCCTAAAAGAAATTTCAAATTTCCCACACTTTACCTAATTTTGGGAGACTTTTGATTTTGTTAATAATTTTACAATATAATTGTTGTTACTGTTGTTGTTGTGGTTATAGTTGTAGTTGTTGTAATTTAAGATACATTTTATTAAAATTTATTTACATTTGGTATATAATATTTATGTATTTACTTTGTATATATAATTTAGTGTTATATATTTAATTATAGATCATTAAACGACTTTTTATAAATGTGATTGATATATTTATATGTTTCGCCTTCAATTGCACTTTTTAATTTCCAATATGAAAATGTGAAATTTTAATTTTTAATTTTTCTCTTAATGTTAATTTTGCTAGTGTATAATTTTAATATTTCTGTATTTCTTTCCCTTGTTGTTGTTGTAACGCGTTTTTCATGAATTTTCACTAAAGTTTCTTTGCTCTTATTTTGTTCGTATTTTATTACATTTTTTATAATTTTATTTTATTATATGTATATTTTTTTCTTTTTATTGGAGCAGTGTAATTTATTATTCTTATTGCCTTTCTCTGAATGTGTTAGCAGCAATAGTTCGTTTGGTGTAGTCGTAGTCGTAGTGGTAGTTGTAGTGGTAGACCCGTTTTTATTTTCCGAGATAGTATTATTCTGTGCTGCTCAGTTCATTTAATTCGCCGCCAATGATTCCGTTTGAATAATACCAATCGAATTTTCCTTCTTTTGCTTTTATATTTCTTTTATAGTCAACGGCTTATACTACTTATTACTTAGTTTCAAGTTTTCCAATAATTTTATAGTAATTTTATTTCTTTTCATACTACATATGTACAGCAAAGACTTTTTTCTTTCATTTATTTTTGTTTTATTTTTCCTTTTGCCATATTCAATTCAACCGGACCAGTCCTCACATCTCCGCACTGCGCCGAGTCAAAAACGTCTTTTAACCACATACACATGCAACAAACTATCAGAAAAGGAAATAGCGGTAGGATTTTCTACCACAAAAGTTGTTATTTTAAAATTTTCCTTCATTTATTATCAGCCAAATACGCTCCATTTACGTATTAAAATTGATAATCAGCAGAGTTAGTGCGATGCTGATGTTTCTTGACTGGCGCCTACGAAACGAAGTTTTGAAATATTTTTCAAAAATTTTAACCCTAAAACGCAATGCGTTCAATTCCGCCACTTTGATTATGTTGCTTGCCTTTTTGATTTTCGGCGTTCGACTTTTTCGAAAGAAATTCGGAGAGGTGGTGCAGGTAGAAAACAACTAGGGTTGCCAAGAATTACTGTTGCACTCTAGCAGCAGTTGTTTTTGTCTCAAGCAGGCAACCTAAAACGGAATAATTTGTAAGGTACAATTAGGGATTATTTTTATTGTTTAATATAGAAAAGTTCAAGGCAAGAACCAGTATATATTTAAGCATTTGCATTAGTTTATTACCTAAATTACAAACATTGTATAAAGTATTATAATTCTGAGTATTTTTTTCTGTAAAACTTAACGTTTACTAAGAATATTAACTATTGATCGACAAGGTCATAGGTTAAAAACATTTGGTACCTAATACATGTAACTACATTATCATTGATAGCCAGAGTACTTATTTTTAAGTATATAAATTTTGCAAATTTGTGAACTTCCTTGAAATATCTTTGTTTAAAACAAGCATTTAACATTCGCATCTTGAATGTTCTTGAATAGACTCACATATAATTATGAAACTGTTGCCATGGTCTGAGTTCAATTAGACATTTATGTTGGCAACCCTACCGTACATAAATTAAAAATAGGATAAAAAACCATTCAACTTTATGCTCACAAATTATTATATCTTGTAGCAAGGCATTCTTAAAGATAGAACATTCTTCCTTTATGTTATGCTATGTTGTTGTTGTTCTTGATGACAGTACTCTTTTTATGCTTTATATTAAGTTAAGATAAAAGAAAGTACGCGGCATATAAAATTGAAAATCCTTAAAATAGTTCCATATGTCATAAATACATATAAAAGATATATTAATTAAGTTATTTACCTTCAATTATTTTCACTTTAGCGATTTAAAACTTTATATTTTGCTTAAAAAATTTTTATTCCTTTTTTATACAGCGTCGTCACTTTTTAACATTTTTAATGTACATATGTAATTTTTCAATTAATTTTAATTATAAACTTAATTAGGAAACAAATGCACAGAACAGACGAAAAAATATTATAAATTGGGGAAAAAGTCTTGCTATTTCAAATTTAATACGCGTTTTCAAATGAAGGAAAGGGACAGCAAACAAGTAAAAATAAAAACACTTTTTGAATCAAACAACAACATTCAACATTTCCGACATCACACGCGTTGTACTTGCGAATTGTATCGCACCGTTTGTGCAACTGAATAGCTCTGAGTCTCTTCGGCTTGTTTTGAATTTGAAATATCTTCAATCTCAGCGTGGTTCTTTTTTCGATTTCACTTTGACTTACTATTTAGATAAAAAGGCACGCAGAGAGCATAAAGAAAACACAAAAAAATTTATCCTAAAGCACTGCCAACATTAAACTGCTTTTTCAGTTAAATTTTGAACGCAATTTATAGATCATAATGCCAACATCAATATGTATTATGTATGATAGCATAATACATATTGATGTTGTCAGTATCAGTATCAATATTTGAAACCGAAATAAATTTATCTAATAACATTTCAGCAAAAACAATTTTTTTGTAAGTAATTTTTACTTTATAATATAATTATTTTTTTAAAATTGTTAATTAAAATTGATTAAATCTACCTGCAATCTGTTTGCCGTTTTAATAAATTGGAAGTACTGTTAAAGTACTACCAAAAAGTGTATGATATTTTTTTATTAATGCAGTTTTAATATCATATAAATATACTAAATTGTTTAAGTAACATAAATTTTAATAAAAATAATCATTTGATCTTAATTTTATAATTGAAGTAATACTTTCTAATATTTTTAATTAATAAAACCCTAATAAGAAAACTTATTGTGGTATAATTTAAATATCATTTATATCGCATTATTCAAACTCGTATATGTAGTAGTGGTATGTAGTATTAAATTATTTATGTGTATACTTTTATCTTAAAAAAATATTATATAATAAAATTAGCAAAAAAGAAAACTACACCTGCATGAATACAAAAACATATTTTTCTAAATTTTAGATTAGTAAACATTATAAAATATGCTTTGCATACATAAATAATATTTATAAAAAATTAATAATAACATAAAAATATTGTACATACTTATTTTGAAAAGAAGCAACACTCAATAATTTTTTATATTGTTGACGAATATGAATGCAAAAGATAAACACAAAGAAAACATGTGTTATGCGGTAAAAAGTGGCTCATGTGCTTTACTTAAAAAAATTCGATATGAAATTTGTTGTAGGTAACATAAGCAAATCATCTGGACGGCTTGGATGTTTAGTCTTCAATGAAAATGGACATAAGTTTAAGACGCCTTTACTACTCCAAACAACTAAAGTAAGTTGTTTACTATATTCGGCAAAAGTAAAGTATAATTGCGTTTAATGTTTAGGGAGGAAGCATACCTTATTTAAGTCGTGAAGTTTTCGATTATGTGAGTAAGGATGTGCACGTACTACAAATGTCGTTGGCTAACACGGACAGCATGGCAGAGTCACTTAAATTGTTTAAAGATAGTGTTAGTGCTTATGTAGGTTATAAGCACTACCCAGTTTTATTAATGATACGTGATCCATGTGAAATTACGCCAAGTGGTTTTAATGACAAAGATATGGTACCACTTTACACGAGAAGAGGTAAAGAGGCTCTAACAGCGACGCGGTAAATCTATATAGTTATTAATTAACCATATTGTTTAAATAACTACCGTTTATGATCTGTAGGTATATGGAACTTGTTCAATCGTTTGCACCTGATTTGTTTACAGGATTGAGTGATGCTGATACAAATTTTAGTAGCGGTAAAAAAAGAGTACAGAAATCTGTAGATAGAACTGAACAGTTTATGGAGGATTGCTATAAAAAGCATTCGGATGCACTAAATCTGCAAAGTTGCACAGTTTTGGGTAATGAGTTATATTGTTATATTCTTAACAGTTTTGTATATTTGGTATCATTACAGCACCTATTGTCGGAGGTTATAATACATACGCACGCACACAGTCCATAAAGCATGCACATATGAACGGCAAGAATATTGTAGGTGGGTATTTACTAGAAGGATTTCACAATAATGGTCTCACTGCCACAGAAATACCCACAGTGGAATTGTTAAAAGTTGTAACTCACTGCATTAAAGAAATGGATGCTGATAAACCTAAACTTATGTCTGGCGCTTATACACCTCTTGTTATACTAGAACTAATCCGTTTGGGTGTGGATATATTTGATACATCGTACGCTTGTCTAGCTGCTGCAAACTACAAAGCTCTTGCGTTTAATTATAATTTTGATAACGTTAAAGATCTTTCGAGTGCTTTTGTCGATATAACAGATGAGAGGTAAATAAAATATATAAATTATATTTAAAGTACAATTATTAATTTATATTCACTAACAGCATAAAAGAAGATTTCACACCTCTAATTTCTAATTGTGATTGCTTAGCATGCCAGAAACACACACGTGCATATATTCATCACTTGTACAAAACAAGAGAGCTGCTTTGTTCTATTTTATTAATGATGTAAGTTAAGTCATTTGCCGTTTAAATATTAAATTAAGTTCTCTTTTAATTTCAGACATAATTTGCATCATTATATACAGTATTTCGAAACCATACGGACTTGCATTGCAAATGACAATTTGGCAGATTTAATAAATCTAATCAAATATCAAAACTCTGATCATGAAATTGACTATATTATCTTGGAAAATGTGAAAACTATAGCAGCCAAAGGTTTTACACTGAACAGCAATGATATTTGAATACAAATTTTATTTTAGTAAAAAATATATAATTTCTAACGCAATGTTTACATTTTTTTATTAAAGTAATCATAAATATTTTTAGAAATTTTCCCACTTTCATTCTGAATTCTTTCAATGACATCTTTCTCAGTCAGCTTATCGAATAAGCTTTTATCTTAAGAACAACATCTATATTATTTTTTTTATATTCAACTCAACATATTTAAAAGACTCACCACCAACAGGCACGTATCCAGAGAGTTCACAGAAAGCAATGTTATAATAACTCAAATCCTTAATAACGCAGAATTCTTGTCTGTAGTAAATAAATATTTTTAGTTTATTGATGCTATTAATGCATTTAGTCATAAAAATATTATGCGGAAAATTATTTTCACATAGCCACATTACAAAATCATAAATCTGTTTTATTTTAACGTCTAATAATATTTCACTATCACTCTTGTCCACAACAAAACAAATCGCTTCTGTAGGCATATGAGGATGAAGCCTATAAATGTAGTCCTCGCTTATTAGTTCCAGTTCCTAAATGTAACATTTATACATTATTAAAATTGATTGTTAAATGTTTTTGCTTAACAAAATAAATTCGGTACTAACTGCTATGTCTATGTATAAGACTTTATCTAAGTTAATTAAATGCAAATGCAAGTGATTAACTGACGCTAATGCTCCTGGACTGTTATAACCAATGCGAAAAGTTGTTTCTTGTAGATCAAGCAATAGTCTGATGCTAAAGTTTAAACTCACTATAGTAATGTGTTGTGCATGTTCTCCATTTAGATCAGGAATAATTAATGTATGAAATGGAGTTAGTGGACTTCTGTTGATTATCATATCCACTTTGATATCATTATATGTAATTTGCATTAACTGCTCATTGGGATTTATTTTCTTGAAATTAAACATATTTTCATCAAACTTTGGTCTCAATGAGGAAATGGTTTGAGGGTGCCTTCGCAGTTGCGTACGTTCTGGATTAAGCTTTAAAATTCTTTTTACTGAGATTGCTGCGTAGAAGCAGGGATTACAAAATACTTACTTCCGCGTAAAATTTGCATGTTCCAGGCAAATACTTGCTTTCAGATACATTTAAGTTGTAAGCGAATACATTTGGAATATTTTGTAATAGACAATATTTTTTTTTAAATTCATTTAGATCAAAAGCAATTCTACGTTTTGCAGCCATTTCAGTCAAAATTTAAATAAAATCTGAAACCGTTTGCCCATTTTTGACTTTTCAGCTGATTTTGGCACTTTATTGCAAACGCGCTGATGTAAAAACAACAGTGGAACAAATATATTCATTGCTTGAACCAAATGTAGTCTGTTGCATATTATACATGGCGAACACAAACGTCATATGAACACGTCATAAAAATATAACCCTAAGTAAAATTATTCAAACTGAATAATACATATCATTTATATACTTTCGACTAAAGAATAAGTACGATATTCTTAATCTTTATCTATATGCTGATCTTCTTCCCCTTAGTTAATTTATAACACCGTTAATATCCGTTTAAATATTTTATTATCTGATCGATTGTCTTAATTGTTAATTAATGGCTGGGTTAAGTTTCACAGATTTTCTTGAATTTACACATAGCATTTTGTTTTCATTTAAAATTTGTAAATTAGTATTCAAGAGATTCATAATAATTTAAACATTAAACATAAAATTAATGAAAATTATATCCTACGTAAGCCGTGTGACGAGGTTTCACGCAGCGCTAACATGGAATTCTTAGGTATCGCGGCGTAGAAACAGGCCAACGACAACTTGCTGAAGAACAATTAGGGCTGCGGTTACATTGCGTGCGAATTTTGTCATGCGTGTTCGTACATATATTTTCTCATGAGAACACATAGCATGTTGCGGTTACATTGCTTGCGAATTAACAGTTCTGTTTTGTTTGTTTTGAGAACAAAATGGATAGTGAAGATGAAATGTATTTAGCGGAAAATTCGTTATAAAGTTATTTATTAATTTCAAATCGCAAAAGATGAATTTGGGTGCATAATTTTTATTTTTCAAGGTATAAAAATGGAGAGTTTGTCTATTCCTCAAACAAAGAAATTAGCAAATAACAATCCATTTCCTAAAAGTAGTGTATGTTTTCAAATTTATTTCCATTTATAAACTTAAAATTACGTGAAAATTACACACACCTCTCAATTTCACTATTTACACCTTCAATTTTGCACGAACGCATAAATTTCAAACAAAATATTTTGTTTAATCAAATATTCGCATGAGAAAGACTAGACGTTGCGCGAATAGTTCTCAGCAACCATAACCATTCACATAGGGCTACATACATTTAATTTGTTCGTAAGAACAAGCAAGACAAAATTCGCATGCAATGTAACCGCAGCTTAATACTGAAATTGGTAAATCGTTTAATGAACTTTAACAAATTTCGCAAAATAGAGATAATTGGAAATCATTTGTTGTATCCTTAAGCACATGATGGAGTATGGAACAAAAATAATATCTAAAAGAGTTAATTGTAGTTATATTACGTTTGAAAAATGCACGTATAAAGAAATAATACGGCAGCCTGAAGAGAAAAAGCAATTTTAATGCAAAAAATTAATTTTGGCGGCGAATTCTCGTTATTTTCGGTGAACACAGCGTATTCATTTTTGCAAGGATATTATTCGATTGAAACATTGATAAATCGTCGGTAATGCTTTTGACTTCTAGAAAATTAACATTAAATGTGACTTCTTCATATCGCATTGCGTAAAAAATACAAAAGTTATTAGCACCTAGAGATCGAAATTAATAAATTTGAATATAAATTATTACTAGGAATTAATTTTTCTTGTCGAATCACTTCAATATCTGCGAGTAAGCTCTCTCTGTCTCTCTTTCTCTCTCTTATTAAATACTTGTTTCCTTGTATGTATTTGATCACGTGTATACTTGATCGCGTCGCGCGATCAAAGCCTAAATGAGACTTAAATTGAGAAGTTTCCATTGAGAAGAATAACTTCCACTTAAGTCTAAAGTTAGTTAGAGGTGCGAGTCGTAAGCGGATTTGCTTAGAAAATCAAGAAAGTAAGATTTTGGACGGATAGGTCTTGTATTATAGGTATGTCAAGAAGCTACATTTAATGCGATATTCTCATACACCTTAAAAATTTATGAAGTGGGTGTATTCCTATATAATTGTCTATTGCACGATGATTTAAAATTAAATGAGGGTGGTCATATTTTTTATCATTTATTGGATATTACGCAGTAGAACTAATTAATATTTAGCGAAGAATTTATTTATAAAAACATTTAATAAAGAGGTTTTTTCGAACAGTAGTGAAATACAACAACAAAAATTTTTTATTTTTTATATTATTTTAATTAATTGAATTTTTGGCTGACCATACAGCTGTTTCGAGTATTGCCAAATACCCATTATCAGTGGTCTTGGAAATAATTCTTGTATTTAAGTATTCGTAAATAATTATTTTCATTAAATTATAAAACATTTAATGATATTACGTTACTAATATTAAATGTGTTAATCCAAAAATTAAAAATATCCATTTGAAAATTAGGCGTGAATTAAAAAGCCATCTTGATGATTTTCTATTTGTTTCTTTTTCGGTATGTAGGGGTTGTGTTCGGGGTCAGCATTCAAGCTATCATAAAAAAAAACCATAAAAACTTTGTATACTATTTATAGTAAAGATAACTTACTGATAATAATTCAGAGCTTCTTCACATTTCACATTATACCACCAATCGCATGAAAATTCCTTTTGATTAAATATCGTTCCATTAGTGCAAAGAAATGAAGCTCCTTGATGACCTTCACGGCCATCATGACACACATGATATGCCTGACATCCAGTTTCTACATTTGCATACATACCAGGTACTGCTGGAACATTAGCACAATGAAAGTTTGTCGCCGGTACTTCATGATATATTGGATAATCCACACCTGCAACTCCGGGTATTTTCGTTAGATCCTGTTTTTCTTCTTTCTGATGTACTTCAGTTGCAGGATGAAACAAATGACCAAAAGCCTATTTTATTATAGAATTAACAATATTTAATACTTTTTATTGTGATTATTATACATATACTAAAAAAAAATCCAATATAATATATAAATGCATTATGCTCTAGACCATGGCTGTAAAAAGTACGGCCCGCGGGCCGCATATGGTCGGCGACTAATATTTGTGCGCCCCACGACATGTTTTTAATGTTTCTGCGGCTTTCCAATCTATACAGAAATTTGTCTTAGCCCGCGATCGCATCTGGTCTGGACAGTCCTGCTCTAGACAGTCTGGATAATTATGTTTCAATTACTACTAATAATGTAGTAAACTACTATTTACTTATTATAGATTCATTGAATAATAGAATTATTATGTGATATATGAGGTATCAGTTTGTTTATACAAGGTATCTACATATCTATCTGTACTTCATTTTTGGAAACGAATATATATAATAAAATATGTATAAAAATATGTATGCAGAAAATAAAGGTTAGTTGAATTTGGATCACCGTAATCCACGCATAAACCTATTGATCTTAAACGATAACAAATATAACAGATATAAGTTTTTAGGTTCATTTTGTAGTAACCATTGGAAATTTTCAGAGTTTTTGAAGCATTTATTTATATTTTGAGATTACTTTTTAAAGACCTTACTGAAATTTTAACCTATATGTGTATGAAAGTCCTAGTAGGGCGGCTAAAATAAGGTAAAAAAGAAATAAAAAATGTAGTAAAAAATTTTGTTTCTGAATTAGTGACGTAATTTTTTGTTTGTCTGGATAACATAGATTATTATGAAAACTGTGTTGCGACATATCCAGATTACCACAATATCCGGATTATAGCATGATTGTATTATCGTGAGCAGAGTTTATATATAATTTATAGCAATTGTTACAAACTTCTTCATTTTTTTACTAAAATTATATATTTATGTTAATATACATTAAGACTGAAAAGTTTTCGGAAATTCTCATTTAAAATTCGCGCGCTGTATATTTTTCGATATTTTAAGTTTATGTAGTTTGGCAGCACTGTCCTTAATTACTATGCCAAAAATGAGCTCGATCTGTCAGACAGTTCGTTTACGGCAGCTGTTGAAACCAGTTCACCTCAGTAGTGCGTTGCGAAATGTCTTCGACGGTCGTACGACCGTCCTGGAAGGCTTTGTACCACTCATAAACTTGAGTTTTCGATAAAACTGATTCCCCATAAGCCTTTTGTAGCATTCGCAACGATTCTGCACACGAAATTTCGTTCGAAACACAAAATTTGATGCAAACTCTTTGTTCAATATTTTTTTCCATTGTTTTTTTCGCAACGCCCTACTGAGGTGAACTGGTTTCAACAGCTGCCGTAAACGAACTGTCTGACAGATCGCGCTCATTTTTGGCATAGTAATTAAGGACAGTGCTGCCAAACTACATAAACTTAAAATATCGAAAAATATACAGCGCGCGAATTTTAAATGAGAATTTCCGAAAACTTTTCAGTCTTAATGTATATATTTTATTTTATGTGCGATCAAATGCTAATAGTATTCAGCATTTCAAACAAGAAAAAAATTATTAAAACAATCAATTATCATTGAGAACGAAAAATGCATTATCTGTTTGGTAATATTTCAAATGAATTAATTTTTATCCCATGATTCCCCGAACTATACCGTAATTAAATATGAAATATTCTGTCATCAAATAGTCAAATTGAACTATTCACCTAACCAAAAAAGATCAGAACTGATCAATATAAAAGGTATAGTCTTTCACCAATTATCAAATAATATTTTGTTGCTTTTCACTTTAAAAAAAATATATTTTTTCTTAATACTGATTTTTAAACTCTTTGGTTTTAATTTATGTGGAAATATGTTTAGCGATTACATTAAATGATTGCAGTTCATTAGAGGCGTGATCCACTTCCACTAAAAGTTGCTCATCCCATCTAAACGATTGCAAAAATTTCATTTTCATTTTATGTAGTTTTTCTTCATTTCTCTGGGTTGTATCTTCTTGTGTCTGTTCGTATCTGTGATTTTCACTTACTCAAGACTACGTGCCACACTCGCCGATAACCGAGTGCCACACTCGCCGATTGGCCAATTTATTATTGAAATTCGATTGCAAGCACAAAGCTGAATCTAACATAAAAATGTTACATAAGCGATCTTAGAAACCGTAACGGTTCCATTGTGTATCTAAGATACAGTCTTTGGGTTAACCGGTTGGTTGTGTGACGAGATTGCCACCTTTGTTGTTGCACTAACTTAACTTGCAAATATGAAAAATTAAATGAATTGAGCTAGAAAAGTGACTTAATAGATAACACATATTAGTAAACAATTATTATGAGTATGTGGTATCAATGTGCAGTGTGCCTTTAGTTCATTGTCTGTCTGATATTTAATCTATGCTTAAATTTTGTGCATAGCCAAATATTTTTGTCCAGTCGAGCTTTGTTTACATTTTTGGGTCAAAAGTGAATGTTGCTCTACATTCGGATTTTGCCTTAAGCAATTTGTAATGTAATTAATTGTCTGCTAGCTGAGGCGAAAATACAAGTCTTTTAATTAATAAGCCTTAATTGTTTAATTTGATAGCATTAACAATAACTTAATTAAAATATTCTCTAACTTTTTGAACACACAAACACACAAACACACAAAGACTCAGCTTACCTGCCCCTCCACAGCAGCCAACAATTGCGCTATGGTGAATGCCAGACCGCAGCAGATAAAGGCAATCAATTTCATCTTTGATTTGAATCAATTTTATTTAATTAAGGTATTTATAATTTCAATTAATTAGTTTTTATAAGTTTAAAGTAACCACAACAAGTTTGGGTTAATTATTTGTAAACAAGGCTTGAAGCTGTAAACTACGTTCGTCGAGCTGTAAACCGTAACTGAAGAGCGTGGTCTATTACACCTCAATTAAAAGCAAAAGTAACTGCAGAAATTCATTACAATACATTGTGCAGACTTTGCACTCACACACTTTGGCATCCTCTAAGTCGGGCTTAAACGCTATTTGTACTAGCAGCTTTTTGATAATGCTAAAACTTCGTGCTTTACCGCTCAATAAGTTAGAGTTTTATAACTTCAGTGTCTTGCATTAGAAAAGCTCTTTCATGCGCTCCAGAAGGAGCTATATGTCTATGTAATCTATGTATTTTATGTTCAAGTGAAGCTTATATTTCACATAAGCCTAAAAGTAGATAAAGTATTAGATACTTTGAGTATCAGATGCAAGAGAGATATTTAATTTGGGTCATGGTTACGTATAATAATTTGTGGTTTGAAGTAGATCAATTAAGCCTATGTCTTGATAAATGCGAGAGCTTAACATGATCACATTATTTGTTTAAAAATTTGATATTTTCATTTTTCGTTAAAGCAGTAATAAGGTAGTACCATGAATTCATGTTAGGAGTTCACTTTTATATTGATAAGTTCCCAAATTTTAAATTTTAAATCTTAAATCTTAATTCAAGTTTCAAAACGTGTATTTACAGAAAAATTTTGAAAATATCACGGGTAAAATTCACTTTATTAAAAAAAAACAATTTTGGATTCATAAATGATCCTACTTTTATCCCTTTAACTATTCGAAATGGATTTCTTATCACAGGTAATAAAATTAATTTTTTTTAATTAAAAAAAAAAAATTAAAAAATCAAATTAAGTAATAATAATTATTGATTTATTGTATAAATTTTCTTTATTTAAAATAAATTTCAATTAAGTATATATTGAGCAGTATTATTTATGAACTCTTACCATTTTTCTTTAATAAGTTTATAATTCCATCTCTATTGTTGATCGACGAAAGACAATCCAAGTGAATTTCAGTGATTCTACGATTGACCAATTTTTTAGCATGAAGAGAGTTTTGCAGAGAGCCAAGTAAATGTTAGTCGGGTGTTGCAAGGTTCGGCCTATACGGGGGTTGCATCAAAAGTTTCCAAACAAGTTCCGATAATTTGTACCGAGTATTTAAAGCTCTGTGTAGCTTAGCATTGTCATGATAGAATACTATTCTTTTTCTGTTAGCCAATTTTGGTCGCTTTTCTTTGATTGTTTGGTTCAAGTTTTCAACAAGCGTTGAGAACGAAAACAATTTAAGATGTTAAGCCTTTTTTGAATCAATACTTTTTCAAGAATTCAAGAAATTTACAGAAATTATTATTATTTTATTTTATTATTTTTTGAAATAAAGTTCATAAGTATGGATCGTAAATTTGAATGTTAATAGACGGATTCTGAAGGTATTTAATAAAGGTGTCTCCAGATTTATTTAAATGAATAATGCAAACAAAAATTCTTTGTATCTGAATTACATAACTGTTGACAAGAATAATTCAACCCTTTAAGCAAAAAATGTAGGACATAAGAGATCATGTTGTGGTAGTAGTTATTCTTATCGTTATTATTTAGTAGATCTGTGAATGTGGAACTGAATAAAATTTTATCTTTAAATTTTCCTACAATATCTAAGCAATATAAACAATAAAAAAAACAAATATAATTTCATATAAAAAATTTACTAAAAGCTGTTTTGAATTGGCTAATCTATAATTAAATGTATACAATTTCGATATCTAAAAGTAGGACTTAAACTATAATACAATTTCATTTGTAAAAATGTAAAAATAAATTTCAGTAAACCAATTTTGTCGATGGATAGAATTTTGCCTTCTCATAGCCATTAGCAGGTCTGTCGCTAGTTTCGCTTATGTCCAACTCATGGAATAAATCATCGAACTCATTAAAGAGCTGAAAGAGTTTATATTGTTTATTATATTCATGAGCTCAATAGAAGTGAAATATGAAATGAAATTTTAAAAATTTTGGAGTAGAATAGAGTGGTATAAAGAGTACAAAAAAAGACTCACATGTGCCGAACCGTAATTTGGCAAATATTGTTTGTTATTCTTGCCCATTGGTTTACCATAAGTTGGACTCACTGGTATATTAAGTAAATTCACATTCTGGTAAGTCTCTACTTTGTAAGGATTATTACGTGCCTTCTGCACAGTTGGCGATACATTGAATAATTGAGCTACAAAATATAATATTGATGTTAAAGATAGAAGATTACTTTGTTGTTTGAACTTTTTACCTTTTTTCTTGGGTTGCAATCGCACTTGATTCAAAAGTGGATTGTGTAATTGAAATTGTTTGTAAACTGGATATGCTGGCATCGTTGGCATCAGATCTATATTCTGACCATGTATTTGCGGAAATAAATAAGTTGTTTCAACTGTTGGAATATCTTTTTGATAGTGATATCTGCCTTCAGCAGGTATATAACGTGCATCTGAACTTAGTGCTATATGATAAACTGTTCTTGAACTTTTATGTTGATAAGGATAAACCTGTAAATATTATACAAAAATAGTTTATATGTTTAACGTGTGTCTGTATTCTCTATTAATACTTGTGGGTTGCGTTGTTCTGGTACAATACCATCGGGTACTGAAATTCCTTCTTTTTGTAGTCGATTTAGGAAAAGTCGATCAGTTTCGAATGCTGTATCTGGTATACGACCACCTGCATGCGGTAGCACTTCTTCTCGATATATTTGACGTTTCTTTAATTAAATCCGAAATTAGAAATGGAGAAATTATTAATTTATCAAATTATGTTTAATATTAAACATTGAAATATTAAATTTTTAAAGTAAAAGTGTATTGCAATTCTGCTGCTATTTATAATATTGTAATTAATATTTTTTTATTGTACACATTTAAAATAATTAACATAAGTCATTCTCTAATTTTGAAGACTAAGTTGTTAATATTAATTTTGTACTAAAATTATTTATTAATTACATCTTTTCGTTATTGCCAAAAACCCATAAAAATTTGAAAGAAAACTCTTTTTGCTTGTTTATTGCTTCGGCGTTGATTGTGTTATAAAAGTGTAAAACATTTTTATTCTAATACTCGTACATGAGACCCAGTCTAAAACATGTTATGTTTGTAATAAAAAACAATTAATATCTCAATACTTAGTTGGAAAAAGCCTTTAAATAAAGATTACTCTTTGAATTATGTAAGATGTACAGTGTATTTCTTTACCAAATAACTGATATGCAGGAGATGATTTCTAAAATAAATCCTAAACAAGAAATAAGAAATTTATTTACAATATTAACTGTCGTGTAGGTTGGCAAAAAAAAGGCCTACCTGAAAATAAAATTTAGTCATAAAACAGTTAATATTTCAAAAATAATTTGCCTGAATAGCTTATATTAGGTAAGTTGGTTGTTTGGAGTGGCGGCCTTGTTTCCAATAAGCCCACTTGAGCTGAAATGATGACCCATTGTGGTACCATAGGAATAGCATTGGTACGTACATAGATTTAAATCAATACACAGCCAGCGCTGAAAAAGGTAACGACTCCCCCATTAGGTAAAGGACAACCAACCTGACAGTTCTATAAACTTGACTAGGTCCCTAACATTACAGTATCTGACAGCTCAATCAGATCGGTGAGAAAAGGGGATCCGAAGATTTTTAATCTTCTTCTAGCTAAAGAAGGACACTGACACATAAGATGGAGCACGGTCTCCTTTTCATCCTCAGAGCCACAATCTCGACTTAGCTTATATTGTATACCATCACATTTGAATCTATTAAATTTTATATTAGTATTTAATCCCTGTTCTACTGCTACAAGTACATGGAAACTATGGTAATTGTCAGTTAATTTATTTTGTAAATTGAAACATTTTTCAATTTTTCAGGTTCTAGAAAACGTAATATACGTATCACAAACCTTTTTGTATAATTGGTTATTTGTTTGTTGTTAATATACTTTCCCTTTTATCTTAAGAACATATTTTTTATATGAGATGCCGTTTTTCATAGACTAAGTTTTCTTGTTTCCTAGACTAAGCAATCATCTCCTTCATTTATGTCATTTTATTAGGAAACACCCAGTAATAGTTTATGTATATGCAAATAATAATATAGCTTCTCTGAAGGAGATTTGCGGTTGCAACACGAGTTTAACTGATTTTTTACCACAAGCCCATATAGATGAAACACAAATAAAAGTAAATCAATACTTTTGATTGATGCTTCTATATGTATGTATTATTATTAAATTTATTAATAATTAAAGTAAATACACAATAGTATTTTAATGAATACATACTAGTACACTAACTTACAGGGTAGATATCTACACGATGGCGTCACACAAGGGCCAAGCTGTAGGAACATTTGTAGATTGAAGAAGATTTATGTATTTATAGAAAATAATAATAAATTATAACGAGGTTAGCTATTGGAACTGGAACTACTGCAATATCCGGAAACAAGTGAAAGTGTATAGTGTAAATAAAGTGTTATAAAGAATAACCAAAAATCTAAACTTTCGGTAGATGGCAAAAATATTATAGCTGTAAGCTTTATATAATGCATATATAACATATGTTATAAATTTCTTTGTAATATAACAAATTAAAAATGAAGTAAAATATAAATAAAAATAATACTAAAAATAATAAAATATTATTATTATATATTAATACGACATGAGAATTGTCACATGTAAATAATTAATTTATTATTATCATTGACAATTATATTACTGATCTATTAAAAAATTATTATATAAATTATCTTCTTCTTTTTCTTCTTTAATATAGGATGAAATCCTGTTTTGTCACAACAATAGAATTGGATACATTTATGTTAAATTATGACATATCAAATTATTATCTTTTTGTAGAGCCAGACGTCCAGCATCCACGCCATCTCTTCGGTGGTCGACCGGGTAACTTAGGGAGTGTTGATTTCTCTACCATTGCAATCTTAACCAGGCGATGATTTTAAATTATCCATTATTCAATTTTTGTACTTGTAAATCTAAAGTAATACCATTGGACAATAGTGAAGTCATTGATGCTTATTGACTTATTGGTATTGGTAGGATACTAACATATATCATTAGATATACACGGTATTCACTTTCATATCGACTTCTTGACTGTCTTCTGTTTTGTTGAGTGGAGATTTTTTTTTCATTATTTGGAAAAACTTAATTCTTTTTGGTCCGTCATCTCTTTTTAACGAATAAAAGTTGAATGTCGGTAAATGTCCGCTCTCTCTCAAGAGTATTTTCACTGCATTTGTTATCTTTATTTATCATAAATTTTGTCATTTTATTACTACACATTTTATTATATTTTGTTTAGTAATTTTGTTTTTTAAATGGGTTAATTCGTCAATTGATAAACAATTCACATTTTTAAAAATTAGTTTCTAAAAATTTTTTTATTTACACCAATATTTGGACTATATTCTATAGTCATCTACAGTATCTTGAAATTGACTATAGAATATAGTCAAAGTGATTTGACTTATTTTTTAGAAAAGGTAGTATTTAACAATTGACCAATTAGACCGTTTCAAAAACAAAATTATTAAACAAAATTTTGACATTTAAACAATAAATTATTATATTTTGTTTTATTTTGTTTTTAATAAACATGGCTTAGATTTTGTTTATGGCACATAAAATATATAATAATCACATTAACTATTTTTATTATTTTTGTTTTTTTTTATTGTAAATAAATTAATGTAATCTTACTCTAGATAGTTATAATTTATATGTAAATTTAATATTAATTAATAAATGTTATTAAGATATCATGTTGTATTTTTTTTTTTTTGGTTATTATTATTAACCAATTTTGGTTGTATTATTATTATGTATCTATCTAATATCTAAAAAATATGATTTCTCAAATGTGTTGAATTTTGTTGAATATTATTATTATTTTTATTTTTACTCATATTTTTATTTTTTGTTTACATATTTGTTTCTTTCATATAACTATTTGTGTCAATATTTTTTATTTTTTTATAACTTTTTGTATGACCCAATGAGTATTTTTTTTTAAATATTTTTTAAAATTCACTTACAATTTTAATATTTGTAAATGTGTTACAGTAATACTTTTAAGGATTTTTTTTAAATGCTTAAAAATGATAATATATATTATATATACGATATATATATGTTGCAAATATGTTACAGTAGTACTTTTAAGGATTTTTTATTAAATGCTTAAAAATGATAAAATTAATGCATTAAAAATGATATATATAATATATGGTATATATGTATTGCAAATGTGTTACAGTAATACTTTTAAGGATTTTTTTTAAATGCTTAAAATAGATAATATATATTAAAAATGTTATTTTTACTCACTTTTGGATTTCGTTCATCAGCATTGCAACTGGTTAAAAAAATTGCTAATGCAATAAAAATATATAATTCTTTTAATTGATGCATTTCAACAATAACAAAAAATATAGTTCTAATCTGCGGATCACTAATTGCTATATATCACTTTTTTGTATTTAAATAGTGAAATATTTTTTTTTATATTTTTTATTAAATAAAAAATGTCAAATAGTTTTTGATGTTATTGTTGCAAAGTTACATAAGACACTGAACCGCAGCCGAACTTGTCACAACACAAATTTCGGTTAGATAAAGTATAGAAAACTACTGAAATCGAGAAGTCAGAGAAACGCAATTATATTACCAATAATTAGCTCAAAGATTGCAAAACAAATCTTTTAGATTCTGCTTTAATTTATTTAATAATAGTTCAATAAATTTTATTTTGCATTTAATGTGCATTTAATGATGCTTAAGCCCTGTTACAATTCGGCATTCGCCATTCGCCATTCGGTATCGGCACCAAAACCACACTGCGAGGTTTCAAATTGCAGTTTCAGTTATGATCACTAAAAAGTATCTGCAACAGCACAAGCAATAGCACTAGAATCGCTATCAACCAACACAAATCGAATCAAACACTGAAAGTTATAAAACACTGAAGCACTTCTTCGATTGTAGTCAAATTTAAAAGTAGGTTTAAAGTGATTTCAATAATGCCAAGATCAATTCCCGCTCGTTGTTCTCCAAGCGACTTCGAAAACACATTCGACGACAGATACGAAAACTGCAAAATCACACACAATACAAAATTTAAACCAAATTGGAATTGCTTCTCAAAATTCAGCATAAAAACGTTTTTAATTCTGTTAAATCACTGCGAATTCACGACTTCAGAATGAACCGTAGAAACGTTTAAATGTGTATCTTCATTTGTAAGTAAGTTTGGAACACTTAATGCCTTAATGCGAAATGCAAGGCAATCGGCACGACAATGTAAGACACGTTAAAAGCGACGAGTATGCACTGCGCGATGTCTTCACAGCTCGACGAAAGCCATCAAAATAACTCGAAGATGCGCTGCGGCTCGCTCTAACTCAGACACTCAGAAATCGAAGCTTGGCTCAACTGAAAGTCGGTACGTAAATTAGTTGGGGTCGCAATAGTGTTTGCTGCGGCTTTGCTGCGGGTTAGTTTAGTTTCTGTTGGCGATGTGTAGATTCGTAGCAAACGATACAAATTTGATGTCTTACAGCACAATGTCAAACTGAAACTTCGATTGACAATCATTATTTCATTGTTAATGATAATATCTGTCTATAGAGCATGTGGCATAAAGTGGTATCTTAAATTCTTGCAGTTAATTGTAGATTGTAGACAGCCTGACAAGCTCTGCTGTAAATCGTGCTTTGATGTGTTGCCATAATGATAATTAAAGATTTATGCTGCAATTCGTTTTATTAACTCAAAACTTTCAATTAATTTGGGTGAATGTTAGCTAAACTTAACTGGCGACTTAACTGGCGACTTAATTTCCATTGCCAAATGTCGGTGCAGCGAAGACATTATGATCACCAAAGAACCAAATTATTTAACCACATTTTATTTAACAATACTAATTTAAATACTCAAAAAAATTTTAAAAAAAATTAAGCATATTAAGTTTTTAATTATTGTTTAAATAATAAAATATTGCTTCAAAATACATGAAATTTCAGCTGAAAAGCTAATTGAAAAGCTAATTTGTTATTTCTTAGCAGAAGAAGTAACTTCAGCTGGACAGAAATATTTTTCTAAAATTGTTTTAAATGTTATTCGAAACCAAATAGTTTGTCGTGCTTTTGCAATTCGTTAGCATTTAAAGATAATTTCAATAATATTCAGATATTCAGATATTCAGATATTCAGTAATTCAATTATCTTTTCTTTAGATAAATACAAAACGTTGAAGTAATTATTTTTTGGAGCCAGAACTCCCATTTAATTATTTAATGCATAACTCAAAAATATATATAGTGAGTTCTTTCATAACATATTTCAGTTACATAAATATTACATATGAAGATACTTTTTTCTATTGGTGCTTTTCATGCTCCTCAACTAATTAAACAAAAAATAAAGAGATAATAATGCATGAATAAAAAATTCAATTACATATTAAAATATATTTTGAAAACACTGAAGAGCCCTTGCTTTGGCGTTTCCAAATATATTAAAAAAAGTTCTAGACTACCTCCAGAAGCATGCTTAGCACAGTGATGTCTATGAGTGAATAATGGTAATTAAATGGTAAATGGTCTCAATCCAAAAGACAACCTAAAAGAAATGGCGTATATTAAATTATGGTTATTATTGCATAAGAAAAAGCTTTGAAAAGAATGAAAAATTAAAAAATTTGTGCAGAATATTGTGATTTCTCCAAATAAAACTGCCACCAAATCTTTGGTAGTTCAAGAATGCTGAACTGAGCGTACCAGTATACAGTTAACGTGGATAACCGGTCACAGTCTCGGTCTCGGGCAACTGCAACGCAGAAGAGCATGCGAAGGCAGATACTCTGCTCCCTGATATTTATTTGTCAGATATTGATATCCCACTAGCAACGGCCATGCTGGCAATCAAACAGAAATATCTAAGCATAACTTAACAAAATTGAGTAGATGAACATTTTTGTCAGATCTAAAAAGTGACCTGGTTTCAACTGAACAAGAAATGTGACAGTCAGCAGCTTTAACTAAGGTGTAATTCACTCAGAACTAGCGTAGCGATGCTGCCGGATCACTGGAATGTGGATGAGATGAAAACTGTTTTCTATCTCATGTGGAGATGACCATTATTGGTTAGGAGAAGATTTAGAAACTTTGAGGCCTCTTTTTTTACCGATCGGACAGAGCTGTCAACTAAAAGCATTAGGGCTGAACCAAGTTAATAGTCTTGTCAGATTGGTTACGTTCACTTGAATGGGAGTTTGAGTTTAAGAGGCTGTTGTACACAACGCCGTCAGTTCCACTTCCATTTAATCTGTCCTAATCTAAACTGTAATGATTTGAGCCAAAATTAGGCAAATTCTACTAGAACATCGAAAGTTAAATAAAGGAATACGAAAAAGCTTTCAAACATTAGCAGATCAAACAAGTTATAAGGACAATAAGTCACTTAATTGTAAAAATGGAATCCCTTCTATGAATTTGGATAGAAAATCAGAATCAGAGAATAAGACTCTGTCGATATTCGATGAGTTAAAAGGTTGTTCTCCATCAACAAGTGATCAAAAACCAGAAAAATTGTTAAAATTAAATATGTCGAGAAATGTGATTCTATTTACGTTGCTTCACAAATTTGCGTCACCAATCGGGAATATGCTCATAGAAAAAAATCGTTGAAGCAATAAAAACTGTTGATCTTACTATAACAACAACTATAACAACAAAATTATATCTAATGGTTAATGAACGCTGACTCTGAGTTTCAAATTTGGCAGAGTACTCATTCAATTCTTGGTACAAAAAATTATTTACGGAGAATTAAATATAAGAAATAATTCGAAGATGGGTATTTAGCAATACTTGAAACAACTATATAGTCAGCCCAAAATTCAATTAATTAATATAATACAAAAAAAAAAAAAGAATTTTTGTTGTTGTAGTTCAGTACTTTTGTTAAATTAACATATTAGCATTGTTTAATATAAGAATTGTCTTGCATGCAAAATGACATCGACGACAGTTGTAATCCGGAAACAATTTCATGTGTCAACTATCAACAAGAACTGAAAGCCGTATATACTGATAAGATGTCTCTCTCCCTTCACTCAATTCTTAAAATATCTTTGCCAATCATCTCTCAAACAGAGAGACTACTGTCTAGTGTCTTTGTATGAGAGACTAATTTCTAAACAAGAACTGTTGTATCTTAAGGTTCGTTACTTATTTAATTATTTTTTATTTTGCAAATATCGTCATACTATTCCACAAGTTAATAGGATGATATATAAATCCTTGTGATTTTTACAGCATATGTGTCAAAATTTTATGAAAATCTGACGTTATAGTTGTTACTGTTGTTTTAGTGTCGCTAAGTTAATAGGTATATAATATAGGCTTTATAATTTCATTATAATATGATGATTTTGTTCGATTAAAACCAACTATTTGTTAGCGATTTGCTGATTTTAAACATGACAGAGGGTTTTCGACTTCTCTTAATTCAATGGTTGCTGCAATAAATACTAAAAAGATTCATGAACAAAGCCTTCTGAACAACTGTAAAGTGAAGTTTAGGAAGATAACTGACACCTTGAAGAAATCAAAACGAAGTATACCTACATACTGGTTTTCAATAATATTTCGAAATGTTTACTCACTGTTTGGTGTATTTCACCGCTATATAAAGTATTTATTGTGTTATGTTTTCTGGAACTTAATTTTATGATTTCATAAATTATGGAAGGAGCATTATCTATGCAGAGATTGCATTGCAAATATGTTTTTATAAACCATTATGTGAGAAGCCTTTTCACAATCATAAGGTCCAAATAAAAGTTATGATTGAATTGCAATAAATTCAGCTACATAGGCGTAGACAAGGGAGACATTTGCGGCGATGGTTCCCCTAATAGTGCAGTTAAAGAAATACTTCACAATGGACAGATAGCCCATGAAGTAATAAAACATCCCCTTCATGTGATACATCGGTGGCGAGAAGGTATGAAACTTTCTTTTTGTTTAATAATTTTTATTTAAAAGGGAAATATTTCAAAAGTGGTCCCCTGAAGTGCTTTCTGGGTATAATCATATTAAAATACTTTCAGTTGTAAGATGATTTACGTAATCGAATGTATAAAGATTACAAACCGATCTCGTAAAAATCTTGTATTAATGTTTGATACACATAATTTCCATTCACAAAATTAATACGGATTTATTTTTAAAAGGAAGTTAAGTATTTTGGCCGCAATCAATTTCCTTAACGTAAGCTTCTTTTTTTATGAAACTACGAGGCTTTTGCATCTAAATCACGTCTTCAAACAAACTGAAGCCAGGTGGCAAATTATTTGCTATCTAGGTTCAAAGGTCAATAAAAAAAGTCACGAGTTACACAATTACCTTCAAAAATGATAAATTTACGATGTTTCGTTTTAGATTTATTTCCTTTGAAAGTACAAATATTTTTGACTTTATATTACAATTACCTTGACGAATACTTTTCGAAGGCTCGTATCAAAATTGATTAATTGGAGAATGTTTATTTTATAATTTTTTAAAAAGGCAACAGCTTACAAATAAAAACATAAGTATTTTCTTCTGTAGTTTCAAAATTAATATCTTATAATCACATTGGGAAAAATTCTTCTGATCTATCTTAGCATGAAGACGGAACATTTTGTGAAAAATACATGGTTTTACAACACATATCTAATCCACAAATAATACTACTATATACTCCATAATAGAAAAGATTAGTGTGCAGCATTAATATACCTTAACCTGCCTTAAATTTATTTTGACGGCTGCAAACTAAATGACAGAGTCCGTGTATCATCTCTTCTGCTTGACCATGCTTGTCATTAAGACAGAAGTAATAATTACTCACTATGTAGCAAAGTCAGTCTTGAGCCAAACAGTTTCTGACATTAAGTTCGCGATCTTTATGGATAAACAACCTGCAATTAAATATTTGATAAACTTTGTAGTAATTCTTGTAGTTCGAGAATAAAAGCATCTCTAAATTAATTGTTCAAGGTTGTCAGTGCCCAACTCATATGAGTACCTCAACACAGAGACATCTCGGAGACTGTAAAATACATTGTGACCGAAAGGTTTTCGGAAATTCTCATTTAAAATTCGCGCGCTGTATATTTTTCGATATTTTAAGTTTATGTAGTTTGGCAGCACTGTCCTTAATTACTATGCCAAAAATGAGCGCGATCTGTCAGACAGTTCGTTTACGGCAGCTGTTGAAACCAGTTCACCTCAGTAGTGCGTTGCGAAAAAAACAATGGAAAAAAATATTGAACAAAGAGTTTGCATCAAATTTTGTTTTTCGAACGAAATTTCGTGTGCAGAATCGTTGCGAATGCTACAAAAGGCTTATGGGGAATCAGTTTTATCGAAAACTCAAGTTTATGAGTGGTACAAAGCCTTTCAGGACTGTCGTACGACCGTCGAAGACATGCCGCGTTCTGGACGACCTTCGACCTCTAC